ATTAGCAAATGAGCTCCATGTGTGCTCTTCATGTTATATGGCTCTGTACCACAGACAACTGTAGATCAGCAGTAATTTAGAGCTGTTCAGTTCTATTCAGTATTAAAATGGGGTTGGAGAACAGAATAGGCAGTCATTCCATTTTTAAACAAAACGCTAAGGAAGCTGGGTAGTTATGTCTGTGACTTTCAAACTTGCCTAGGGTTCCTTCTCTTGTACTCCAACTCTATAAGCAAATCTGTATAAGCTGTTTTGCCCATGGGGCTGTCTCTAAAGAAGAGGTGGCCTCTTTTTACTAGCTAACTCCAGTTTTAATTTGTGAAAAAGAAGCCTAAAGTAATCTGTGTTTCACTCATTAATTACGTAAGACAAGATTTTATATTAGCTCTACAAAGACTATTTCAGTAAAGCTCTGGAAAATAGAACAGTTGGTAAGTGCTTAGATTTAGATTTAAGACATATGTATACAGATGCTTCAAGCTCCAGTTCTCAGCAATGGAGTCTGATGGGGAGCTCACTTGCTGACCCTACTTACATTGTATACATTTGTTAGGTCAGCTGCTGAGTTGCTTGCTCCATTAACTGTATCAAATAGTTCTCCACTGACAGCAACTGGAGAGTTAGACACCTACAGGGAGATTTAAAAATAAAACAATTCAGGCTGCATGCTGAAGCCTTCAGCTTGTTGAAGAAATATATGAAATGATTTGAAATCTTTAATTTTCTTTGCTAGTGAATAGGGAAATTATTTCTGCTGTGAAGGTGTTGTCACAACACACAACTTGATGCTCACATCAGCTTTGTGGAGAATGATGAGGAAAAACATTTAAAAGAAAGGCAATATTCTGATAAAGCTGAAGTTTTCATTATATTTTTTACTGCCTTCCTTCATCAATCCTACAGTGTCATAATAGGAGAAGCCAGAGAAGCAGAACCTATTCAGTCCTATACATGAATTTCTCTATTTGTACAGTCTTTCTGAATCACTTCTAAAATGACTGAGGATTAAGAGCACACTGTGGCAGGCTGAAGTTAGTCTGGTAGCACACAGTGTGCAGAATCCATGCCCCTGCTCTTTCTGGGGAGTGTTTCTGGGTGGGAGGCCAAGGTTCTTTGAACAGTTAATAGCCCTGTAAATTATATTGGTCCAATAAAAAGAAATGTGGTAGCTCTTGTGCAAGAATTTGCTTCCAGTGTTGCTTTTAGTATCCTGGCTTGCTTCCCAAAAGGTGCTGTATTAATGATTTGTAAGAATATTAATGTTACCCGAAAGAAATCATTTACCTCATACGCCTTTTAGGAGAGGGAGCATTGAGAAACTAACTTTCTCAGGTCTGAAAGTAAATCTTAAGTATTAGAAGAATGTTTGTAGTCATTTTTTCCCCTCTACAGGCTTGCTCATAAGTCATGACAAAAGGAAATAGAAAAGCCTCTGGTACTTCCACGAAGTCCAAGATAATTGGCAAAATTTGTCATTCTAACTCAAACTGAGGCAAGACATCTTCCTATGCAGCTTCTACCTAGCAATGTCTATTCTGCTCTGACTGAAACTCATCTGTTTTGATGTCTGTGCTGAGAAAGGCCTCTTCCACAGAGGGCAGTGTGGAGGTGCTGGGTGCTGAAGTGGAAAATTGGGGTTTGAAATTCCTGTCTCATTCTCGTTGGAGTACCTTGACCAGTGGGTCAGATACTACTGTGAGCTGTAAATTGCACGCTGATTCTCGGTGGACTGTTTGTGTACATGTATGGTATTTTGGTTTGGGCTTATCTTGCTCTGTCTTGCTTTGGAAGGTTGGTGGTGATCTTAAAAACACTTTCACGATAAGAACTCATGCATGTGGTGGTTGTTTTTTTCCTTATTTAATTGCCATCTCCTGATAGAAGGTCTCTGTATATAAAAACAAAAACCTTCAACTTCTTGGGTACTCTTTTCTCTTTAAATAAAGCAGAAGATTTTGCTCAATTAGAAACATCCACTGGGAAATTACAAGTTACAGTGAAGCGCTGCAGGGGTCATAGGTGATATCTTTGCTTTTATGAAATGAAGATTATTAAATGCCTTTCACTTCTCTGTGGTTGTGATGTGCTTTATGCAAAGTTACTTGTAAATGCATTTTCAAATGAAATTTACCAAATGTCTCTTGGCAAATACAGCCTTTTGAAAGGTGTAATTGTGCATGTTATGTATGGTAGCTTTCTTCTTTGAATACAAGAGCAGTGCTTGCTTGTTCTCCAAGAGTCTTTTAGTTAAGGAAGCCAAGTGTAGACTTACTGGAATAGAGACCTCCCTGCCTTCCTCCCCCTGTTTGTGGGAGCATTACATCTCATGGTAATAACTGTGCCATCTCCTCACTGTCCAGAGTGTTATCTTGATAGAGGACCATGCATGTTGCACTTGATTTTATTCCTTGAAACAAAAATTCTTGCAAGATTTAAGTATGGGCCATGAGTTTTCCTTCCCTTCTCCCCTTTTCACATGTTCATCTCTAAATTAATACAGTATACTTCTGCACATTTTCAAAATGCATCTCAAGACAATGCTGAGAAGTGGTTTCTCCTTAAAATGCAACTATTTAAAAAAAAAAAAAGTGAGACCCACCATTATCAAACATGATTCTTCTGTGAGGCTAATAGCTGAAGGACAGCTGTATGTTACCAGATGGAGCCTGGGGAGGTCCTGCTGGTTCTGTCCCCTTACTGTAGGGAGGCCTGGATTATTATTCAGCCATCAGCTCTGACTTCAGCAGCATTATCATGCTATGAGAAGGATTCAGGCCTGGGTGTGCAGACTTGAGAGCTGCTATAGGAGCCGGTGTTCTTACCCACCCCACCTCTGCACGCAGCATTAAGGGTGTTGCTTTCTGCAACAGAAATGCCCCTTTGCAGATGGGTAACATCTTACTCGGAGCTCGAGATTCAGACCTGTTGCAAATGCTGCGTCAGCATGAGGGTGCGTGTGGGAGCTGTAACCCAGCGCTGACTCCAGCAGTGCCAGGTCCCTCAGAGTGAGGCTGGCCTAGTCACAGCTGAGCAGGAGCTGGGGCCGGTGGTGATGCTCTGTGCCCTGCCCATGTGGGAGGAAGTTGGTTTCTTTTAGGACGAGTAGATATTGCTGTGCTTCCTCCCTTGCTAATGAATGACAGCAAAGCTGCCTTCTAGCAGGAGCTCCACCCCCTGGGTCTCAGTGATAGCCTGGTGCCTTGCTGGGCAACTTGTCCCTCTGCCCCTTTGTCCTTGCCACCGCTGCGGTGACTTTCTGGGGCATCTCGGGCTGGCTTTGCCTGATGGTGAGACAGGTGATTGATTGCTGTCCCCTTGGGCTAATTGCAAATGTAACCTATTCTTCTACTCCAGGGCCCCTCTTGCCGTAGAAGAAAACTCAACCACACATCAAAGAAAAAAGAAAGAAAAAAACCCACAAGCATAGAAAAAGTCTCTGCTCTTTAAATGAGAAGTAATAAAGGGCAATAGGAAGGAGAGGACCAAGCAATTTTCTACACTCGTTCTTCCCAGATGCTCTTACTTGTGCAGTGAGGGATATCTGCTTTTCTCTGTGGGCTGCAGACCTTCCTGTCACGGGGAAACCAAGCAGCAGGCTGGGAATCGCTTGGCAGCATTTCATCCAGAGAGGGCTTCTGTTCCAGCCAAATGAGTCTGTCTGCTTTCAGCTGCTAGTTAAAATACACTCCTTGCTTTTTGACAGCTTCTATAGTTCACTGCCACTGCTGTTTGCCAGGAATTGTCTGAAATTTCCCTCTGGTACTTTCAGTGCATTCGGATAAACATTATTGAGAACTTAGCAGTTCATTTGTCTTTCCGTACCCATGTTGTTATGTATGCTTGTGTATGAGTTACTTGTTTTAATCTGAAATGAAACCATACAGACCAGTTCTGGAAATAGGAAATGGTTGTTAAAGGTAAATGCCTGTTGTCTCTCGATGGAGCATACTGCTTTTTTAACAGTTAGACTAAAATTAGTCTTCAACATGGTATGTGCTGGATGTAACAAGCAACTGTATTTAATTATTAATTTCTTAAAACATTAAATAAATAACAGTTAGAAAGTTTCTGTTTGGTCCTTTGGAGTGTCTCCATGCTTGAATTCTTGTACTTGATGGTTCTCTTGGACTGAATCCATACAAATATTTGATTATTTAAGTCTAAGCAACCAAGCACAAGGTTCTCTTTACACAGTCTGGCATCATAAAGAGCCTTCAATGTGAGACTAAATTGTTTACTTTCACTCAAAAATTTCTTTGTCTTGCCACTGTAGTGTGTGTTGTCTATAGTTTAAATGATAGGCTGGGAGCAGGCATGATAACCGAGTGAAGAACCGTAACCAAATCTAGCCCATAGAAGCAGATTGCTAAATAAAATGAGATGGATGGCACTTCTGATAAGTGACAGTTTGTACGTTCCACAAATGAGGTACATAATATTAACAGTTTTCACTTGGCTGTGTGCTAGTGGGTGGAATAATGGTATTGCTCTGCTAAGTTTTTGCTCTGGTAAGCTTTCAGTAAGTATTCTGGATTGAAAGAGCATGACTTCTTTAGGCTGTAAAGATATGATTTCCTTGAGACGGTGTTTCTGTGAGTTGCATTTATTGGTTAATTATATGCAAGGTAAAAAGCGTTAATTTCCTGGCCCTTACTAAAATCAGTAGCCTAAATGTAATAGTAATTGCAATGCAGCCCTTCGAGGTTACCATTTTTCTAAATCAGTACTTTGTTACTCACATGTAATGCTACTGGGGAAAAAAAACCAACAAAGCAACACTGAATAATATGACTTATACAGACATTTTCTAAATTTCTAACTGCTAGAGCTGTTATCGGATCAAGAAATTCTTAGTATGAATCTTTAAAGAATAGCTATTGTATCTGTTGCCTTTTAGATATACAAAGATCATTTTGATAGAGACAGAAAAAATCAGATTTTACTTCTGACAGCTTTTTTTTTTTTTTAATTGCTTTTTCCCTCTCTTCTCTTTATAATAGGGATTTATCTGTCCCTTGTGTATGAAGTCTCATGGATCAGCTGAGGAGCTGTTCAAGCATTATGAAGCAGTTCATAATTCTGGCATCGATTCAACTTGTGGAGGGGAAGGTCACCTGTCATCAGAAAGGTGGAACACTGTTCATTTGTGCTTGTGCTTTTGTGTCAGTGTTGAGCTGCTTCTAATTACACTGAAGGCTGTATTAATTTGAACACTTAATTATGTAGTGAAGTATTTAAATGTTCATATCTCATTTCCAACTACAATTAAAAAGCAGCTTGAAACTTATATTGACTAATACTGATATGGTAGTAAATGGAAGTCAGTTGTTTATGTTTATATTGTTAATTCCATCGGTGTTTTTCTCATGCGTTTGAGAATGTATTGTAACAAGCTGGAAGATTTTTAAGCATGGCAGAAAAATGTTGGTTCATTCTTATTTGCTGAAATTTTTTCTTTTGAGCATGGGGAAGGAGAACCCTAAAGAAAGAGGAGAGACATGATTTTGTCTCTTGGTGGTTAAGGTACCTACTGTGTAATTATAACATCAGTTTTTGTCTGAATTTTCCCTTATCACCTAGTTTTTTGCAAATCTGAGAAGTCTCTGTGTCACTGTATCAGCTTTCTGTGTTCCAGAAACTCCATCCTCATTTGCAGAAGTCTTCTCTAATTTGTTTTAACTCTTTGGTCAAAAGCATTTTAAGTGTGTTCCTGTGAAACACATCAGGTGGTTTTATTTCTGTGTGCAGCTGCATGTAGCAGGAACTGATGAAATGAACTTACTTTTGGTAGAACAGTTGAGAGTAATCCCTCTGTATTTGAGTAATGCCTCATGTTGGTTTGGGGAACTTTTTCTTAGGGATGAAGTTTACATAGGGTCCCTTCTGCCTGCTGGATCTTTTTCTGATTAGTGTTTATTTTGGACAGTTGTAAATGACAGTCCACACTGCTGTTTGGTCACCTCTTCCTCAAACTCCTTTTTGTTTTGTACATAGTAGTGTCACAGTGAGCAGCTGACTGTGGCCTCGTTCAGCAGACAGAGGTACATGCTGCATAACCCTGCTGGTGTTCACTTAGTAATGGAGCTGCTTCTGCTACTGCAGGAAGTAAACCACTCAGATGTTTGTGACTGGTAGATATATGACCCAAAAATGACCCCAGTACTTACATTGATAAAATGAATGTATTTACTTAACTCACAGAAGGTTTATATTTTGGTGAGAAGTGTGTAGGATACCGTATTTTGATTATTACCCAAATGAAGATCTCTGTTCCCCAGTGTTATGCAAACTGAGCCAGGAAGAGCCAACATTATCGGAGGTCTTGTCTGTATGGATGGACAGGGGCCCTTCCTTAGGCCCCCTTTTCCAGATGCTGTAGGTTTTTGGCTGAATATGACTAATGAACTATTGCTTTTTAAAGCAATACAATTGCCATTGCTTTATTTTGAGCATGTTACAGTGTAACTGTTTGAGGGGAGTAGATTTTTTTTTCTATTTTTTTTTGTTTTTTTTTAACCCCTCCAATGGTGGTTTTTTTATGATCACTTTTATTCTCTGTTCTCTCAATCTGCGAGGGATCAGCAGGAACCTGTAAGGTATAGAAGACAATTTGAAAGAAAGGGAATTGTATAGCCAGGGGAGAAGTAAAAAAAATTGTAATTCAGGCTTATATATGAGGAAATAATACCGTATTAGCAAGGTTATATTGGGTTTCCTATGTACACATTTACTCAAGAGTGACTATTTTTTCTGTGTCTGTTTTAAACCTTTTCAGAGCAATGTAACTTAAACTCGAAATGATAACTCAAGTAGAACAATAGCATCCACATGGAGGAATTATTGGTCATAACTATATTGTGTATATAGTTTGTGGAAGATTTATTTTTATGCCTGCAAGTTTCCAATGTCAACCAGATGTCGGCTGGTGCAATTTAATTTTTTTTTTTCTGCTTCTTGACAGTTTAAGGACAAGTGGTTTTGTTCTCTCTCCTGTAATTGAATAAGTGGACAAGGTCAGGGAGTTGGATGGAGTGCAGGGAGGCTGGTCAGAGCTGTTGTGTAACACATGAGCTATTTCTTTCTGAAAGTGTGACATTTTTTTAACGTTTCTCAGTTGCATGCTTACTTGAGAGAACTCTTGTTCAATGTAAACATGTTTTTTTAATACTCAGAATACTGCATTAAAGTAATGCTCTGACCTGCAGCAGGCTGCAGTCTGTTAGTGCTCTAGGGGTAAAGTTTGCATGTGATCCGTATGACCAAGATTAGGCTGTAAAGTTCCTTATTTATTCAGTAGGGAGGGTTAGTTATGATGAATTACTTGGTCTGCTCAGCCCCCTTGCCATTAAATTACTGTTACTAGTGCCAAGAATAGATCATGCAACTCTCCCCAGTGCAGTTTAGCTGGGCCACTGGTACGCAGTGCCTGGATGGAGGCACCAGCACTGAGGATTAGAGAGAAGCATGAGGAAAATGTAGCAGATATTGGCTGGGTGGCAAAGTTCAGGAGATGTGCTGAGAGGAGCATGGAATTTTAACAGTGCTAGGAGAGAGGGAGATTGAGGGAGGGTTTGGGTGGCAGTGAGAAAGAAAACATGTACACTTCTAGAGTGATTCATTACACTTTTTCCTAATCATTCTTTGCTGGACAGGTAAGTCAAATTTAGGTTTTGTCTTACAACTGTCAAGCAGAGCAATGTTGGTGAATACTGAAAAAACTACAGTAGAGTACTTTCATCTTTTCCCCATCTCATCTCCTTTTTCTTCCTCTCAATTACAAGTTATTTTTATGTAGCTCAAGAATGTACAATCTAGAGCATAATAAATACTTTAATACTGCTGATCTGGTGTGTGTTTGGCCCTAGCTTCAGTATTGTTAACCGTATTTCACCTGCCTAAGATTTCATTTATAATCTAAGGTGTGAATGTTTGCTGATATACTTAATACTGGTGAGAAAGCTCAAACAATATATGGGTTTTGAGTAGCAGTTATACCTGTCCCTGTCTCATTAGAGTTTTACTTGGGAACCTCCAATTTATCTCTCACAGGACAAATAATGTGTAAATAGCAGAAGACCTTCTGTAAAACTTATCTTTCCAACATGACAACATTCATTTGGCCATTAAAATTGGTCAGCCTTGGAGTTCTTCATTGGTTCAAGTGCATGTGTTTCACTGGATTCTCGATGACCCTGTGGTTAATGTGAAATGAAGGCTGAATTTTTTCTGTTGTGGTTTAGCTAAGGAATAGGTTGCTTTGTTTTGTTTTTCTCCTAAGTATGAGACAATTCTAAAGAACGTCTATGGAGGAGGGGATAATGCAGCACAGGAGCTATAAAACTATATGGTATAAAACAGAATATGTTGGTATTGACACCCACACACATACATGTTCTGTGTGCCTCTGTGCTGCCACTGTATAAACGATAGGAAGGGATGTGTTAGCATTTGGAGTGGCTGTATCTGAGTGATTTAATGTTATCCTCATCTGTATAGTTACACAATTTTTTAAGGAGACCTGATGTCTAGAAGGGTGCAGTAGTAACAATTTTAGCCTTGGATCTTGTGTTCTTGCATGGCTCAATTTGAGAATTTAAAATCCCAAGGCTTTAAGTATTCAGACCATTCATTGAGCCCATCTATGGGGCGTACTGAATTGCTGTGTGGATAAAAAAAAATTATGTAGCTACATATTTCAAAAGGAATAAAGTCACATGCTGTTTCTTATCAGTGTTCCTCATGTGATATGGGAAGTGAAGGATATTAGGCCTGTCCCTTTCATAAAAAGGTGTATAGAATATTAAACATGCCAATGCCCAGCTTTGCAATTTGACTCGTGGTGAAGTTGATGAACTGAGTTAGATTTGCAGTTTATTTTCATGAGACTTTTTACATATCCAGTTCTTTACTTATACTGTTAGAGTTTTAGCATTGTTCAGGTGATTTGCAAAATGAACTAATAAGTATCTATAATTCCACTTTCTTCTAATTTTCAAAAAATGAAAAATAACTATGTTTATTTAAATTATGTTTATAGAATATGTGTCTATTACTGTCTTCCAGTTATTTAATATACTTTAGAATTTCTATGTAATTGACAAAATATAACTACTGCATATTCATTTTCTCCACTCTGTGGATATATTTATTCAGAGATGAAGTATCACTGCTCCGACAAGAAGTACAAGACTTGCAAGCTTCGCTGAAGGTTGGAAATGTATTTTACTTGCATGTGGCTTTTTGTTTCAAATTGCAAAACATTCTGCTATCTTAAGCAACCAAATTTACAGTTCTCTTTTTCTCCATTTCTTTTTTTACTTTCTAGGAGGAAAGATGGTATTCAGAAGAGCTGAAGAAAGAACTAGAGAAATTGCAGGGGCAGCGGCAGCAAGTAATTGCTTTAAAATACTTGAAGCAGGTTTATCATCAGCATTGACATTGAAGATTAATACCTTTTTTGTAAGGCACGTGGCCTGATTTAGTTAGTTCCGTGACTTGAATATTGACATGTTCTTGAAAACAAAGCTAGTTGTCTCTCCACAGTTTAACTGTATAAATCTGAAGAAAAGTACTGGAGTGGGTAATGGTAGAGCTTACTACAAGTTCTGTTCAGATTTTTCCATTGGGCTTAGTCAGAACTCAGTTTGAATGTGGTGTTTCACCTGCTATGAGAAAGGGCAGTAGGGTGTTAGCTGTAAAAAACACCAAACGGAAAACCCCATACTCTCAAAAAAAGAAGAAAAAAAAAAAAGGGAGAAGCGCAGTAAGTAGTGTGACTTCACAACAAAGATGAGCTGAACAAATGATTTAAGTCAACTTATAATATATTGTCCTTAGGGAAAAACTTCTTTTGCTACTGTGAGCTACTTAGATACTGGATTGTTCTAAACATTGGGAATTACATTCTGACAGAGTGCCTTTTTGGATGTATTTAATATAATGTCTGTGTTTTAAGTCAGATTTCAATATTGAGGAAAGTGAAGGGGAGGGGTTTCTTACTGGAGTCTTGCAAGTCTGAAAGTTAGATAGTGTAATGATAAAGAAATGGAAAATTGTCTTGGCCTTTTCCAGTCTTCCAGATTCAACTGTTGGAAATTTGTACTACTGTGCAGTATGTGAGCAAATAAGTCTTTATTTCTGTCTTTTCCAAAAGTGGGATGAACTTTTGAAGTAGTAGTTTTAATTCCTTCTGTCTAATGTTGCATTTGTCCTTCTGTTTTCTTAAGGATTCAAAGTCTGATGGATTGACGACATCTACATCTACAGGTGGCTAACCTTTTATTGTATAAAATTCTGCACTGTTTTGGGATCTCTGGAGTTTTGTTTACGCTAGCTTTTAGACTAATGAAAAAGCACTTTTGGTAAACTAAAGACATAGCATGCTGTGCAAGCACTGTTACTGAAAAAAAAAGCTCATTACAAGTGCTTAGGATAGCTGCAGTGTGGAGAAATGTACAGAATCTTGGGGTCTGTAATATGTAGAAGTAAGAAAGGAGTTTTCACTGCAAAAGCAGTACTTATTAATAGTTTTGAACATGTTTTTAATAATTTCATTTATTCAAGCATTTAATTCAAGTCTTTTGCTGAGAAAGACCATGGTTGTTGACAATTCAAACTGTAGCATTTGTCAGTGCTTGTTTTATTCAGTGTTCTTTTGTACTAATTGCTAGCAAGGAAGCCAATGAATTTTGTCACTTTTGTTTTCCAGACCAGTAATTTTTGCTTCATGTTTCATTTTCTCTAGGCACTCATGAGATAAGATTTTCTTTGTGTCCAAAAAGGATCTGACTGATTGTGATTAAAGAACTTTTAATCACAGGTCAGGGTTTGGAATTCAGCAGAATGTTACAATGATCTCAAGAGCTATTAGTGACTGGTGAAAGCCAATATCTACTTAATCCTGCATAGTACTCTGCTAGTGACAGGTTTCAGTATCATGCTTGTAGATTCTTCAGTGAAGTTGCTCAGTTTACTAAGTTAATTGGATTAGCTAAGTGAACTTAGATTAATTTTTTATCTACTGTGGTTTGTTATTGATATAAGTAACTGTATAACCTTACCCTAGCTATTCCAGGAAGTAATACTGTTCTCTTTATGGAAATAGAATCATTAGAACGGCAACTAGAAGAGATCCAAGTAGAAAATTTTAATATTAAGCAAATGAAAGACTTATTTGAGCAAAAAGCAGCACAACTGGCCACTGAAATTGTGGGTGAGTATGCTAATATGTGGTCTGATTCTGTTCTCTACTTGTGCAACTTGTGCAAGTGATTATTTATTCAACTTCCTTCTTAATTAGATCTTAAAGCAAAGTATGATGAAGAAATCAGCCTTCGGGAAGGTGCAGAACAGAAAATGACAAACCTAACACAGGAACTACTGAAGGAGAGGAGTACCATAGAAGACTTAAAGACAGAGCTGGTATTCATATCACACTATAAATGTTTTTGTTATTTTCAGGCAACTGAGCATATGCCTTCCTAAACAATCGCAGTTTAAAAGTAGCCTAACTGTTGATATTGGAGACGTCTAATTGAGGCTTGAAAAGAGGTTTAGAATACCATATTTTTCAATATTTTTTCAGTGTATATTAGCATGTGTATTAAAATTTATCATATATTATTTTGTAATCTGCTCGTTTGATGCTCCATCTGAGGAAATTTGCAGAGCATTACAGCTTTGGATGTGTTATGCAATCAGTGTCCTGGACTTGGTGAATGCCATCGCTGACTCCAGAAGCTGTCTTAAGATCACTTATTTTCCATGAGGTGTTATGCTATGCCTGTCCCTGGACAGCTGTGTTCATAAGGAGTGCTTGGAGTGGTGTTTTGTGGCATGGTGGCTAAAAGGCTGGCAGCTGTCATCACCGTGCCTATGTTAATGTTTACTGTCTTCTTCTTGGCTGATGATACTGATGTGTGTGTATTCCAGGATTTTGGCTCGTGATGACTTGGCTTCAGGGAGTGATCTCAGTGACTCAGCAGTCATGCTACTTCCAAAGTTGTTGCTAAGGGACTTCCTAACTTCTTGTTTGTCTTCTACTGCATGTGCTCTGGAAAACAGCAGGATGGCATTTATCTACCTTCTTCCCTGTAGTCAGCTGCTGGGAAATACTCATGAGTTCCTCTTGGTCCTGATCAGACACTGGACCTGTCCATTCCTCTACCTGTTTAGTTGGTTTCTTGTCTTCTTTTCTCTTTCTACATTCCTACCTTTTTTTTCCCAGTACTTTAACTGCCAACACTTACTTTTCTTTCTTCGGTGCCCAGTATTGCCTTCCTCCTCCCTTTCTTCCATAGCTTTTCCCTTGGAAAGACTTTTTAGGACTTCAGATGTAATTACTAGTGGGTTTACCTATATGTCTAATGTGAAGTATTTTGACAAGTCCTGAGAAACGTCTCCTTGAGTTGCCCATTTTTCATCTGTTCCTGATGTTTTCAGAGACATTAGTGGTTTAAAAGTCTGTAGTCAATTCTTATACGTCTCTGTCATGAGACAGGCTTGTGTGTATTATAGAAGGATAAACGATAATCTGCTCCATAGAGTAGTGGAAATTAATATAACCTACTTCTCATGGAATATAACTTCAGATAAATTTATTGTGCAGATTCCCTGTCAATTCAGTGTTTTCTCCTAATGGTCTCCCTTAGCTATCTTCCTACATGAAAATTACAGGAATTTCATCTTTGAGACCTTATTCTTTTTTGTCAGATTTGGTTGAAATGGATCAACTTGTTCAATGTTTAGTAGGCAAAAACTGTCAACCAGACATTAAAAACCCATTTCCTTTAGAAATTGTACATTATTTTGTTTGCCATAATACTGTCTATCTCATGTTGTCTGTAACTTAGTTTGAAAGATTTTTAGAGGTGAAATTAATGCTGGAAGTTTATCTATGAATATCATCACTCTTACCTTTCTGCTTTTCAGCTACAAAGGCCTGGTGTGGAAGATGTGGCTGTTCTTAAAAAGGAACTAGTCCAAGTTCAGACACTGATGGACAAAATGACTTTGGAACGTGAGAGAGAATCTGAAAAGCTGAAAGATGAGTGCAAGCACTTGCAGGCAGAGCAGGCAAACTCAGAGGTAATAGTCATACCATAAGATGTGCGTATTAACTTTGCTTTTATTTTTTTTTTATTTGAAAATGGGAAATATTAATTCATCACAATGACAAAGCTTTTGTTCTTAACAGAATCTCTTCTAACTTACCTGAGAAACGTATCTATTTATTACAGTAAATTGCATAAATCTGTCAATATTGATACTTGAAAAAGTCCCCAGATTTTTTGTTGCAAAACCTTTTCTTGGCATGAAGAGTTACTACAGAGCTATTGATCTTCTGGTAGAACTGTGCTATTTCTGCTTAGAGAGAGAAGTAGAGCAGTGCTTGTGTGATTCAGATAATTGTTTCTCTTTTAGAGCTTCATGTGGATAAAAGCAGTTGTTAATCAGAATGCTGGTTTTAGTTTCATATTAGAGTTGAGGTGTTTGAAAATGGATGCTAGTTCTAAAGTACATAGGAAAAATTAATGAAAAGTAGATAATGTCAGTATTCTTAGAAGACCTATATAATTTTTAATCTGGCTGAAGATTTTAAGATGTCATTGGGTATTGTTACCTGGTTTTCATTTTCCTTTATCTAGTTTTTACTGTTGGGAGCCTTTCTACAGCTATTATTTATTGTAGGTATGTTTTGTGTGTAGGATATAAATCTTTCCCCATTCTTGCCCAAATCTGCCAAATAATGGCCTCTAAATGTTCCTTGTTATTTACTAGACCAGAAGTTGACTGGTTGCCAGGTTTCACCATGACTTTAGGTCAATATGTCAGTAAGTCACTTGTAGTCTGTTTTAGGCATCAGCACTCCCTTTGCTGTTGCAGTCTGTAGAGAGTAGAAAATAAAGTCTTGTTCTAAAGTTAGTTACTGGTTTTGTTTTAATTTTTTTTTTTCTCTATATTTTCCTGATTTAAAACATTTTCAATTCATCCCATCTGTAAATTGGAACTTCACTGTTTACTTGAGTTATGGAACATGTGGATTTCTTCTCAGAATTACTTTCTGAAGGCTTTCCTCTGTTTTGGCTGAGTCAGTGAAAGAAGGCTAAAATTGATGATGGGAGATTTGAAAGCGTTTGCCCAATTTGGTATTCTTGTATATACAGATGATGATAACTCTGTGTTTAAGGATGAAAAACTAAGAAATTCTTCCATAACAGGTGTTTGGTTTTCTTGGTTATAATTCCTCTGCTTTTTCACCACTGTACGTTTCCACTTCCATGGAGACTAGAGAAAAAGCAATACAGCAGCTCTAACTTGGATCTTTTAGGTGGAACCTTACTCCTCAGACTGCCCTGTCGTGGAACCATCTCAGAATACTCCTGACTAAAGCATGTTTGATGTTGTTTGCCATAATAGCAAGGGAAATCTCTGACAGAGATGTTGGCAAGAAATTCTTGTAAAAACACTCTATCTCCAAGAAGGTTGTCTCTAACACAATTTGTTCTACTGGGGGCCTGGCGAATCTGTACCTGTATAAGAATTCTCTTGCTGGGTGTTGCTGCCTCTCACTAGAGTGTTGTTTGGTATATCTTTACTAAGAAACAATTTGACACTGAAAGGCTTTGTTTCCTGTGTTCGAAACCTTTATACCTCCCTTTTCTGTTGTCCCACATGACTGCAAAGACGAGCAAAACAATGCAGAACTATGGTTCCTAGTGAAATTGCTTCCATGCAGAATATCCCTTTTTACAGGAGGGCATGCCTAGAGTTCCTGTAGAACTTGTTGTATCCTCCATCCTGCTGATATTTCAGAATGTGAAGAAATTCTGGCATCTTGTTATCATGGGCTTCCATGTGCCCTAGATTTCAGAGCAACAGTTTTATCTTCTGTTTCTTAATTTACACTGCAGAGCTTTGGAGAAGGTCTGCCCTCGTTAATTTGAACTCCTTAGGGCTTTCACTCCTGCCTTCCCCTGAACTCTCCAGCACATATGTGGAGCTCCAGGAACTGTACAAGATTACAGTTTTGTACTAACCATGAATCTACAATTGTTTTCAAGTTAAAATTATGTATGCCAAGAGCTTCATCTGACAAGAAAAAAGGAATATCACAGTTGGAGTCATGAATGTGATGTGGTTATGTGGCCATGTTAGTTGCTGCATAACTGTAATTTGGTTTTAACTGTGAGATCCCACAACTATGCTGCAGAATTTAAATTTTGTTTCAAAACACTGTGTTTGTAGTCTCTGTGGTTTTGGATATTGTATTTAGTTTTTATGTGAAGATAAAATGACATAGTGATGTAGGCATAACAAAAATCTACAATCTTGAAACACAGCAATGTGGATTGCTTCTGTTCACTCAAATAAGGTATACTTAAGCTTTGACATAACTAACCATATTAAAATTTCACTTTAAAGTGCAGCTTTTAACAGGTAAAAAAGACAAGGTTTTTCATTTCTGGTGGAAGTAATGGCAGATTAGGAGAGAAGACCATGGAGTACTCCCAGCTGCTCCAAGAACAATCTAAGAAATCTTAGATGTCTGGAAAGTTTATAAACTACAGTGTAACTATGATAATATCAGATGTCTGTGTAATATCATCAGTACATAGACTGAACCAGAGAGGACTGAGTTGCTGCATGGAAGAATGCAGTGAGCAGTGGCAGCCTGATTCTCAGAAATGTTAGTCTTCTTCGCATAATTCAACTTATGGCAGCAATAGTGTAAGACATAGGTAGAAAGACATAGTCAAAATAAAAGTTTTGTCATTGCTGCGATAGGTTAAACTTAAATTTACTTGAAGTCCTTGTGGTGAAAACTTCTTTACTTTAAAAAAAAACAAACAGAACAAAAGCACACTTGTGAAAAGTATTAGCCATAAGAAATCAAGAAATGGAAGTCCTTTGTTAAAGTTGTACAGTTCTGGACATAAAAGTTTGCTCATGTTTCATCTCAGCTTTGCGATGTTATGACCAAGAGTAAGGTGATTCCTAGGCCATTACACTGGAGTGGCTGTGGCAACATATATTAATATTGGTTTCCACAGGGAAGCTTCTTTATAATGAGATACTTAGAGAGAGTAACGATTGTCTTAACTCTGTATGAGTATCTTTAAATGCTGCAGGAGAAAGAAAACATGCAAATAGTTGCGTAGCTCTACAGTTATCACCTAAGTGTGTTCATTATTGTCTTTTCCTTTTGTTGAGTATTATGCTTTATTTCAGATTTGCAGCTGAAAGTGTGGTGTCCAGTTATGTCAGCTGAATGTTCGTTCTGAGACACTCATTCCACATTTGGTTTCCCACTATAGGGAATTCTACATAGTGAGCAAATTATGAAAACAGCTGCACTGCTGCAGAGCTTGGCATTTTTGCAGTTTGGGATTTGTTTCAGCATCTGATAAATGTTCCTACAGATTGCTATATTGAGTATTAAATCCTAGGCAAGATTAGTAGATTAAATTATGGATTAACTTGATAAAGCCAGGTCTGTCTGGTTTTTTTCTTTCTTTTTCTTTTTTTTTTAAATTTTTTTTCAAACAAAGTATAGGCAATATTTGACAACAATATATCAATGAATGGCTTTGTCACTGCTTATTTCCATCTTTCATTCACCCCTTTTATTTTTTTCTGCTTTCTAATGGAGACACTTAAATGTGAGGTAAATTTTTTTTGAAAGCTTGCTATGCTACATTAGATTTCTATTGTATTAAGATAATACTAAGAGATTGTTAAATAGATGCTTTCCTATTTAGTTAGTTTCATTAATTGCTCAGACATATCAACCAGACAGTACCTGGAATGAATATTCATCCATCATATGTTTCTATTTTAAGAATGAAATATAGGTCAGGTCTTTGATCTGTGATTGAGAGAAATGCACATAAATTATGGTTCTAGTTTGAATTGTTGCAGTAGTAACCTTAGCAAGCTTCTGGACGTCTTCTGCACCGTATTCTCTCACTTGTGAAATATCCATGCTCTGTTTCTTAAGAACATCCTGGATTGCTTGTCCGTCCCAGACAGATCCCAGGATTTATTCTTACTAACAGCTTTGTAACAGAATGACCGTATAAAGAACAGCATTACCAAACCTCAGTATTAATAACAATATGTAGTCATACAAAAAATGCATTCATATCTTCTATTTGGTCTACCTCTTTATGTAAAACGGTTGTAAATGGCATATTTTTGGTCTGTTACTTCTGATCTTTATTTCATTCTTGAATTTAGTATTTATTTCTTCTTGCTGGAATCTGTTCTTTTGAGAACAGTGGGAGAGAACTTTCTTTTAAATGAATGTTATGAAGTACTCTAGTCAACATGAACACATTCATACAGAGCATTTTATTTTTTGTATTACAAATATGCAAGGAAACTATTCTTCAGTGTGTTTATCAAAAAGAAGCAGGGCAATTATAGCACATAGAAGTCCCAGAAGTACTTGTGCTTCTGAGCAGCATGCTATAGATTTTATTCAGATAACTCAGTATTCATTAACCTTCTATTAAAAACAATTACCTTTGCTGTCCAGCATAAGGATCAGTGTCTGCATTTGTTAATTATATGTGGATAGATCAGACTTCAGAAATGTTTATTTTTTACTTTTTATTCTTAAAATTTTCTAAGAAGATATGAGAGGTCTGCAGGAGGAATGGTCACGAAGTAACTGGAATACATGATAATGTTTCTTATTAACTCCAGCACAGTGTGCTTTGGGGCAGTCATTGTTACCCATCCAAAGTGCTTTACTGGTTTGCTTTCATTACTGTCTACAAATACTATGTAGTCGTTAATCTATTCTGTTTCTACCAATCCTGTTTGAAGAGTTAGAATTTGTTACCCTGATTATACTCACCTACAGGATCAGTGTAACCAAAAGTCACACACCAAGTTTGCATCACAGTCCGAGCTTAAAACTTCTACTGCCTTTTCTAGTACATTATTCTAGTATGTATAATCCCAATGACTTGGAGGTGGGGAGGGCTTCATCTCAAGCTAGAACTGTGATAGTGATTAATGGATAATATGCTGTGATTTTTCATTGCTTGTGGGCCCAACCTGGATTTTCTGTTGGGAAAATTTTTGTCTTGAATGAATCTCAGTTGGGAGATTATTGATATTTCTGTAGCTGATAGTACTCTGAGATGAGTTTGGTTTTTTTATTTGGTTTTTGTTTTTAATGCATGTAAGGATGTTTTTTTTTTATTTTGCTATTTTGTTTGGGTTATGCAAAATTTTGTTTTAATTATGGATTTTCTGTCCATCTGTCTAGGCTACCATTAATCAGTTAAGAGCTGAACTTGCCAAAGGACCTCAGGAGGTAGCTGTATATGTTCAGGAGCTGCAAAAACTTCAAGGTTTAGTCAAGGAGCTAGAACAGAAAAACCAGGTGAGAATGCTGTTATTTCCTACATTTGACATTTCACATTAAAATGGAAATATCACACATTGCCTTGGTAAGTGCTGAAGACTGTAACAAAACACTTCTTTGTGTTGTAGAAGTTGAGAATTCCTTTCCCCTTTCTGGTTGACTTGAAGAATTTTGTAATGTACAAGTTGAATGGTATTTTTAAGTAATATTGGTACATTTCAGTTTAATTCCTAAGGGTTGTTAAGGTTGCAGGTTTCTAATAGCTGCAGCTTAAAGATATGTGAGCATTAACAGTTTTACCATCTCACTCATTAAAAGATTAAAGCAATATCCATCAAAATATTATGATAGTTCCCAGCAATTATAATTCAGAAGATGAGCTCTATGTATTTGTCTTCCAATTTCTTCACTTTTAGATTGTACCAGTGTCATATTTTCTGGCCTTTTATCAGAATAATGAACAATAGAAAATTGAAATAAACTCCAGAAGCTTCTCAGCTGATAAGTATTCATTGAGAGCTTTAATTAAAGCCTTCTGAACTTGGTGCATTTTGTATTTTGTATTTGTAAGGAATGAAAGGGAAAAATATTGGTGATTGTGTGTATGTATATATAACACTGTGTTGTTGTGAACATTACATATGTATTCAGCAGCAATCTTGCCGTTCATGGGGGGGAAAAAAGGAAAGGATGTGGTCCAAGCAGTGCATACTTAATAGCATTTACAAAGATATGATAGGTTGCAATTAAAATTTGATAGGATGATTCTTGATTTGACTTATAAAATCAATTGCAGGACTGAGCTAGTGAGCATTGTCATGCTGCTCTTTTCCACAGATTAACAACATTTAATCAAGCTTTTGGCAAAATTATTGCTATAGAGAACAGAGAACTTGTCTGAATATGTTGCTGTTCAATTAACAACATGAAGTGAAACAGATTGATGAATAAGGTACTCCTCTGCTATGTCAGGCTAATGCCAAACACCAATTAATGAATGTGATCAGAAATGGCAGTGAGCTACTTCCAGTTTCAGTGAATAAAAGCAATTTACATCCACCTCTTTATGCAGCTTATAATATGCTAACCAAGGAATCTTGACATTGGAGGACTTGGACTTAGAGTTGGAAAACGTGAGACTGGCTTCCCAATTAACAAAAATTGCTCCCCCTTTGAGCAGGGCATGCTCCTTGAAGAAGCTGTCAGGGAGGCAGGGAGTGCTATTAATGCTGGACAGAGTACCTGGCATTTTGCTGTGTACATCTTTCTGTAATTCATTGCAATGCAGGAAGATATTTCAGTACTTTGACACAGAGTTTTCAAGATCACATAATACTTCAAGCAAGCAAGCGGGCTGTTTCTTTTATTTTTAGGAGCTATACTGAGAAAAGCAGATGACAAATACATAAGATCAGTTTTCTGAGACCGTCAGGAACTGACTTCCCTTCACTTACAAAATACTGTAATTATGGGGCCTGGCTTGTTTTGCACAGCCAGACATTACTTTAGAGGCCAGAAATGGCCTGTGGCCCAGAGGAGACCTAACATGAAAAAAACAGTGTATGGTATACCTTGAAGTGTAAGACTTGCTGTAATTCCAAATGCATCAAATGTGGGTTCTTTTGTTTTCTTTTAGGAAGGTTGTGATACATTATCTACGTGGAAAAATGCTTGGTTTCCAAGCTGCTACTGGTGTAACTCTTCTGAAATTCAGTCAGTCATCACAGTGTTTATTCTTTAAGGCGTATTCACTATGACTGCACACATGTTATGTTCTTCTTGCATGTATCCATGGGGTAGCATGAAAAAAGGGATTGTGTTTCAGCTTGTATCTTGTGAGCTATGAAGGCTGAGGGCTTTGTAGTGTGCTGGAAAACAAGCCTTGGAAAAGAGGGGCAGCTGATGTGTGCCCATATATCCCTTTATGTATCTGGGATGCAGCTGGGACATGCATTCAAACTGGAAATGCTACTGGGTCCACTGATATAAGCTGAATGAGGCCACAGAGCTGCCAAAATATGTGTTGTCAAGTTTTCTTGTGTACTTCAGTCACACATGAAGGTAACTCAGCCTCTTGAGTACGTGGCACTGACTGTGACTTTGTCAGCTATATGAGACTGCAGAAGCTGTTAATCTTTCAGAGGTGGAAGCTCTGGGTTGTAGCCTGCTAACACAGCCTTGCAGATTTAAACATGATTGTTCCCTGTTGTATTGTTTAACCTACCAGGGAGAAAAAGAGTAGCACAGAATTCAGTGTCATCATCGTGAACTACATGTAGCTGTTTCTTTTGGTTGTCCTTTGAATAACTTGTATTGAGAAGGTGAAGTAGCTCACATATCACATATCTACATGTGATATGTGGACCTAATAATGAAGTTCTAGTAATGCTCATTGCTTATCTCTACCTTCTCCTTTTCTGGTGAAAAAGGCACTGTGGTGTATTGGTATTTCAGAATCACCACTTAGTATAAATGTTAGTCATCCTGGTTGGCTTTTTTTCTTTAATGAAAAGGGAATTGCAACTTTATTTCAGATTCAAAGCAGTATGAGCCTTGTCACTGACTTCAGCAGGGTAAAGACAGCACATGACTTATATATTTAGATATCCCTATATGAAAAATTTCTGCGTACTGTAACAGCAACAAGTTGTTCTGCTTTTCAAGAAGCATTTTGAAATATACTACCTGAGGACTAAAATACAGTGACCAAACTTTAGTCCTAAGACAGAATTTTTGGCTGAGTTGTATACTTGAGAAAGTCTGCTTTTTTTAAATGGACTTAAGAGTATTAAATGTATTTGTTCTCAGATGGATTAGTAGAATACCAGATTTGGCATTTTCAAGATAGTTTTCTAACCTCTATTTTTAAAAAGGTTCTTCTGTTTATCAGTAGTGTAAAATAAAAGTGCCAGTATGTTGTTTACAATGACCAAAATAGTTGTTATCTGTAAAAACTGTAAAGAACATAAGATCAGTTCAATTTACTTGAATAATACTAAAGCTGCTGCTTCTGGCAAAATTGATTTCATCCCAGGGTACTGTGTGAAAATGCACTTTTAAGGTGTTCAGCATAGCCAGAATTACAGCTCTTGGAACAACAAAGTTGCAGAGCTGTCTGAAGTTTTCACACATCAGAATGCCCTCAGTGTTGTCATTATTTTTTCAAGCTGATTTGTTGGAAAGGTTCTTTTGTTTTCTGCGTTTTTAATTTAAAGGGACACTAGAGAATACAGTAGTCTCTGGAATTGCAGAAAGAACAAGCTTTTTAATAGGTATTCATAGTAATGCTTCACTGGGACATTGCGGTATCTTATTGATACCTAAATGGAACTTCTTGGTACCTTTCAAGAAGAGAATGAATTACCCAAGCTGGATGGTGACCAGGGCCTTCTTGCATCTGTATTTCTTCAGCAAATGCCAGTGGAAGATTGAAGTGGTTTTCGTGGCTTCTTTGTCATCCTTGGTGATGTTTGAAATTCTAGTTAAGGCTACAGCTAAGCTTGAGGAAAAACCTAAACATTCTTGAGGTATATCTTGTCAACTAAGATACTTAAATTCTATCAGAATACAGTTTTGGTTAAGTTATGAAAATTGGTGAAAATTATGTAATAGCTGAAAATTATCTGTAAATAACTTCTAAATTTGTCTGTGTGTGTGTCGGTGTGTGTTTTCCCCAAGCAAAGGCAATTGTAACAACCTGGAATTTGAACTTTCAGGGAGAGCCAATTATTTTTCAGTATACACAAATAGATTTTGTGTGGTGTTCTCACAAACAAGATTTTTGTGAGAATATGAAAGCAGCATTTCCAGGTGTAACTATGTGCTATATGGGCTTCATAATTAACTTATGTAACATGACGTAGAGACCAACATTTCCATTAATAATGCTTTTAAGTGAGCTCATTACTTTGTTCTGCATCAGCACTTGGGAGACGTTTGAATATTGTGTTGAACAGATGTAAGCAGAATTGCAGTTAAATTGCAGTATAACTCTCTTTGTAGAATCTGACTGAGAAGCTGCTGAAGAAGGAGCAGGAGTACAGCCAGCTAGAAGAAAAACACAATGAGCTATCTGTGAGTAAAAAGAATGTTCAGGCAAGCTTTCACCAGAAAGACCTGGATTGCCAACAGCTTCAGGCAAAGCTGTCTGCATCAGAAGCCTCGATACAGAGATTACAGACAGAGCTAGGTGAGAAGGGAGAAGCAAGCCAGAAGCTTAAAGAAGAATTGTCCGAAGTAGAGACAAAGTACCAGCATCTTAAGGCAGAATGTAAACAGCTCCAGCAGCAGAGAGAGGAAAAAGAACAGCATGGCTTGCAGCTCCAGAGCGAGCTCAGTCAGGTAAGAGTCCTTAAACCTCCTAGACAATTCCTGTTGGGACCAATCCTTAAAACAAGCCTGTTAGGTTTTATTTAACTGTGCTTTTTCTTGTTCAAGAGGAGTATGCAAGTAGATAACTCGTGTTTGAATAAATCCCTTCTTCTCCTTACAGAAGTGAAAAAAGAACAAAAAGAAGTTATGATAAGAGTGGTGGAAGTGGGTTTTTTTTTTTTTCTTCTTATGTTGCTGTATTTGAATCCTTTTGGTTGTCCTGAACTCTCATTGGAAGCAAATGAACACATTTGTAACCCCAGTAGCACAACCAAACTCAGTAAGATTTACTTTAGATTTAGATAATCCAACCACTTTTCTACATTTTATTTCTGAGAATACTGATGTAACGTGTATCTATCTATGGTATAGTCCCCCCCTTCTCTGAAAGGGAAACTAGTCTTACTAATTCTGTTCTGGAACTGTTCTGTTGAGTTGTCTTTAAACAAATAGCTTTCTGTTTTGAAGATTAAAGTTAAGAGTCCACCTAAGGTTTGTAGCTGATTTCTGGTGTTACAGGAGTTTGCATGATTTTTTTTTAATTAATTTTTATTTTATTTATTTATTTTTTTATTTTGATATGTGAATAAATAAGGCTTTAGCTGATCTAAAAGAAATTGCTTGTCCACTCTCCTTCTCTGGTTATATGAACTTTTCCTTCATCCACCAACTTTTCCTGTCTCCTTTTTTTTGTTTATGCAAAGGTAAAAATTCACTGAAATAAAGAAAGTATTTTCAAATGAGAATGCAATCAAGAATACTGGTTTTGCATGGCAAATATAGTAATCAACAATTACCGAGAAGTCAGTAAAGTTTTTTATTCTGGTTTTGTAAGGTGTCTGAGTCTCTGATAAGTTGAGGCTATGGAAAACCAACGTAAGTCAAGAAGAGTATTAGAGGAAGTGAGATTACTACTAGAAGTGAAAATACTCTGTAGGAAGTTTGAGAAAAGTGAAAGTCGTCTTTTTTACAGTGGAACTGAACAATCCTTGATTTGTTCACATTTGTTGAATGCAGAGAATATGTAGTGTGAAGAACAAGGATAATGTGAAGTCTTAATGTTGCTTCTCTTGCATTTCTCCACAAAGACCATCTCTTATGTTGTCTACAGCCATGAAAACACCCAGGGCATAACACTTCCACCATCTGAATATTGTTCTGCTGTGTACAGTGAGTTATGGAAGCGAGACTTTCATACAACATTGAGCATACAGATGTTCAAGACTGGCTTAACTCTGTCTTATCTCATGTCTTTGGAGAGTAATATATTAGATTGGATAAATATTTGTGTATCAGGAGTAATGTCCAGTCCTAAGATAGAAAAATATATATTTATTTTAGGATGATGCACTTGACCTTAATATTTCCTCGGCTTTCAACCGTTTGAACAAGTCAGAAACAGATTAAGTTGCAAGCCATGCATGCATGGCTTATCTTGGAAGAACAGTGACTTGGCAAAACTTTGTGTATTTATTACATCCTCAAAATGTCTTTCCTTCTTCATTGAGTCTTTTTTGATGAGTGAAGGGAGAGATATGTTAGTCATCTGCTTAGGAATCCTTGTTTAGTAAAACTGCCTCAGTCTGTCTAGGCAACACATATGCAAGCTTCAGAAGCAAAGCCAAGAACTAGAGCTGAAATCTGGGTTCAGATTGTAAGGACTTTTTTGGGATGCAGTTTTGAGGTAGGCAGACGGAGAAGGATCATGAGTGATGAGTTGCTGTGAAAGGAAATGCAGGCCTCACATATTCTCTAGGGATGCTGCTGGGAAGGAGATCAGTCTAAGTGAGAAAACCTAAACAAGCTGCTACATCTCAGGGTGGGTTTTAGAATTGTATTGTAATAGAATAGCTGGGAAAAGAAGTCGTTCATACATGGTATAAAATTAGGAATGAAATGAAGCAAATATTTCTTTTCCTCTCTCCCTCCCTCCAAACAAGAGTTCTAAGTAACTGTTGTCATGGAGAAAGCAAACTGCTCTTATTTATTAACATGATACTTCAGTGGAGTTACCTTTTTTCACTTCTAGTTCAGTAGCTTATGTTACATAATGTAATACTGCTTATGAAGACAGATAGGAGGATTTTTAGTCAAAATGCATTTTCGGGTAATCTCCTCAAAATTCACGCAGATACAATCCTGGCAGTTATGTATTTCTGCAAAGTGCTGACCAGCCTGACTGCTATTATAGCCAGTGGCTGGGATTCTCTAAATATTACCAGTTTTTATCCTACAGTCTTCAGTGAGCAATTGACATTTTTGCATGCTTACTGTTGTAAATAACGGAAGGAAGCTTACATAATATATTCAAGCAAAGCAGACCAACATTTTGCTTCTGCCCTGCATTTATTTCTGAAAAGATGCAGTAGTTTTTCAGTTGCATGTGCTCCTCTCTGAGCACTGGTTAAGTTTGTATATTTTAGACTCTGAGTGACCTAAAGGAAGTGATCTTCACAATGGAAGGAAGCTCTGATGATGGTATTGGTTCCAGCGCTGCAATGGGAACAGGCAAATAAGGACTACTTCAGTCTTGGAGAAATGTTAGCTGCTAATATATACTGTTACTCATGTTGAGGAAAATTTGAATCTTTTCAAGACTGTATCATTTAAGCGTTGATACTTCTTCGTAGCTAAATTTGATTTTTGTATTCTGTAATACAAGTTAATGCTGGATTTTATGTTCTGTTTACTTAAAGTCCTTCAAAAATATTAATATTCATAAGGATCTGAAGTTAATTATGCATGTAATGTGGTTTACTTGTGCAAATATATTTTTTGTTAAAGTAAGCGGGAATACCCTGTAGCATAGCTGTTTTTGCTTAAGTATTTCACAAGAAAGAAAGAGGCAATGAGTTCTGTAGTGATCTCATTGCACCTTTTCTTTGATAGATTTTTTTTTCTTTGGCTCTTGTTTGTATTTCTAGCGAGGAACTATTAATTATTCAGTGACTGCCACAGAAAAAGACAAATTTTCTTGCTTTTTATGCAATGTCCTTCCTCATTTTCTACCTCTCTCTTAACTCTGCAGTCTAATTTAAACAATCAGCATTTCAGCCACTTGCTTAAGAGCTTTTCATTTGCAGTGTTTGTGGTGGTGGATGTGATTTAGCCTGGTTTCCTAAGAAAATAAAGCATTTGATTCTCTGCCTCTATCCCCTGTAGCTTTTGTACTGCATGATAACTTCGGTCAGTTTTGAAAGATGATTGAAAGGTTTTCAGTGTTGGGTTCTTCAGCATTACACTTTTGTGGAAGCAGACAGTTGGGTGAAGGAAAGAGGCTTAGTCTGTTCATACCTCACCCCCTCTGCGCCTGGGGGCAAGATTTAGTGTTATCACAAGCCCTGTTCCTTGTTTCTGTCCTGCTATGCTGTCCTGGAGAAGGCTCAGGAGAGACCTCATTGCAGCCTTCCATGTACTTGAAGGGAATTTATAATCAGGAGGGAAACAAACTTTTTACATGAGTAGATAGTGATAGGACAAGGGGAAGTGGTTTTTATCTAAGAGGGCAGCTTTACATTAGATGTTGGGGAAATTTTTCACTGGGAGAATGGTGAGGTGGTAGAACAGAGAAGTTATGGATGCCCCATCACTGGAGGTATTTATGGCCAGGCTTGCTGGACCCTAAGTAGCCTCATCTAGTGCATGATTTAGTGGTTGGCAACTCTGTCCATTGGAGGGAGTTGGAACTGGATAATCTTTGATGTCCCTTCCAACCCAAGCCTTTCTACAATTCTGTGATATTAGAGAGAGGTCCTGAATGTACAGAGCAAATGACATGAATATCTTGGATGTAAATTTATAAGAAAATAAGCATCATTAATGTGGATGTCTGTAGAAATGGCTTGTTGTGCTGCAGTGGTTGGATCACTCCAGTTTTTGCGTCAAATTGAACTTTCATTGTGTAGGCATAAATTTGTTAATGTAGAAGTAGGTAGGAGGTAACTGAGAATCTTTGGAGATAAACTGAAGGGAAGGAAAGTTGATTTTATAGAGCGAGCTTTTCTCTAACAGTGAATTGTGCATTACTGCTTTTGATGACCCCAAAAGTTCCAAGGGAGGTTTACGTCTGGCTGGAAGAGCACGTCTAAGTGCTGACTTAGGCTCAGCTGCTGGGATGTGCTGAAATGTAAGCCACCAAAGTTATTATGTTACTCATTGTGTACACACAGCAAAGATTCATGCATGTCTTCTCAGCACTGAATGAACACCTAGATCAAACTACCAACTCCTAGTTAGTAGTCTAGCAATACAGAGCAGTGTATTGTTGGAACCAGTGCAGTGGGTAAAGGTGTGGTGTTCTGGCCACTGAGTCTGTGTGACTGAGATGTAAGGTGAGGCGATATCACTCTAAAGCTTTGCTGTTATACACAATATGTCTTTGAAAGATTGCCCTTTTTTTTTCTGTTAAAACTTAGTAACAGATATGGAAGGGTTTCTCTAGATAAATGAGAATGTTTCTTGGCCCCTTCTACCTACTGCTTTGAATATTTCCTTATTCTTGTGCAGTTGATGCTGTTCTTAGATGTGACTTTGTTTCTGCATTATATGGTGTATCTTCATGAATTCAGGAGCTTATGTTGTTGTTTTATTCCAAGTAATGAAAATCTTGGTCAAACATGGCAAAATTGAGTCTACGTTGGCTAAAGACTGAAGGAATGGATAATTTTATTTTTATTTTTATTTTTTTTGCAGTTGCATAGTAAGCTTCTAGAAACAGAGCGCCAGCTGGGGGAAGCACATGGGCGGCTTAAGGAGCAGAGGCAGCTCTCTAGTGAAAAGCTGATGGACAAAGAACAGCAGGTGGCTGATCTTCAGTTGAAGCTTTCTCGTGCTGAAGAACAGGTAGGAGCATTTTCTGCAAACTTTTATTTATACTGTTTCTGATAATAGCCTGTATATAGTCATGTTGGTATGTTGAAGTTTATAAATTTTTTTCCTTATGGAAGTGTCATGTGGCTAATACTGTTGAAGTCTTACAATGAAATTGTCAAAATCTGCCTAAATGCCTTTTACATTACAGATTTTGTAAGTCTAATGTGTGTATGTTCATGGTACTTTTGAGATAAAAGAATGGTCTTCCTTTTACATTGATGATCTTGGTGTAAGAATTGTGTAAAAGAAAGATGTAGGTGCACTGAGCACATATAGGTAATGATTTGTGTGTAGATACTCTTGTGGGATAAAACTCTCCATGAAAAAAATGTGAACATGGCACAACAGCTCACTGATAGTTAATGAATTTTATGTAGTGGATGGGTAGAAATTGCTTGCTTTTATTAATTTTCATTTATTTTAATGAGTGTCTTGTATGTGTTGCTGGTTTTCTGCTACCTCTATGGGGATTGGCCAAATATCTGAGTGGTATGTTGTCAGAATTTGTAAAGCTACTACTATAAAACAGGAGAGACTACTAAACTGAAGTTGCTACTAAAACTGCTAATAATAATGTTGTTTTACAGGTACCTGCATTATCTGTCATGTTACATCTTAACAAGTGTTGGAAAAAAAAAAACATACTAAAATCTCTTTTTATCTCTTTTATTTTTGAGAACTAAAATACATATGTCTGATAGTTACGTAGTTTTCACTTATGATTCTGGATCTCATCTATTAATAAGAAATGCTTGAGTTAGATTTTGTTCTTTAACTTAGATTCACACGCTTCTATTTTTACACCAATTTTCATATATTCTTATTTAGAGTAAACTGCAGGCATTTAGAATAAACATTGAATGTATTGAAATACTGAATGGTGCTTACTCATTAGTGTTTTTTTCTCTCAGCTAAAGGAAAAGGTGGCAAATTCCACAGAATTGCAGCATCAATTAGATAAAGCAAAACAACAGCACCAGGAACAGCAGACGCTTCAACAAAACACGACATCAAAACTACGAGAAGCCCAGGTAACTTACTTACACAGCCTCACATAAAAGTGTATTTCAGATTTTCATTATTTTCAGTATGTTCTCTCTGTAAAAGTGGCTTACAGGACTTTAAAATAGTTCAAATAGCTTGATGTGTAAATCTCAAATAGAATATACAGGGGGTGTTTAATACGTTTATCCAACATCTTATGCATTAGGAGTAACTTCTAAGTTTGCTATAATTAAGGAAGCTGTTCTGTGATTTTCTAGAATGATTTGGAGCAAGTACTACGACAAATTGGAGATAAGGACCAAAAAATTCAAAATCTTGAGGCCTTGCTTCAAAAGAGTAAGGAAAATATCTCTCTGCTAGAAAAGGAAAGAGAGGATTTGTATGCCAAAATTCAAGCTGGTGAAGGAGAAACTGCAGTTCTTAACCAGCTACAGGAGAAAAATCACGCACTGCAAATACAGGTAAGAATTCAGAAACCTGTTTCTTTACTCTTTTTCGTTATTGTATCTTAATTCCATTATTCCTCTCTTGTTAAATATGACACTGATCTTTTCTAGACTTTGCTATTTCTTTGTATGTGTTTTGGTAACTTACCTGCTATCGGCAAAGAGGAGAGAATTCCTAGGTGTTTCCTATGTACATACACTAGCAATATACTCTTTAAAAAAGTGGATGCATATATGTGTTTGTTTCTTTTTTAAAAAGAGGCTTATTTCCTGCTTTCCATACTAAAATTCAGTCTAGTCTGCATCTGTTGATTTTTCAGTTCTTGATTTTGTTAGAGTAAGGCTAAATTGATGACTCCCTTTTGTTTCCATTTTTAACTGATATCCTATTGGAACTCTGATACTGTACAGTATAGCTTTATTGTAATAGTTAGAGTTAGAAGTCTGCAGCTGTAATAAGACGCCCTAGAATTCCAAAGTTTTATGACTTTTTTGGTCCTCCTATTACGGTCTCTTTTTACCTCCTCACTACAGGTAACTCAGCTGACAGAAAAGCTGAAGAATCAATCAGAAAGTCATAAGCAAGCCCAAGAGAATTTGCATGAGCAAGTTCAGGAGCAGAAGGCACATCTAAGAGCTGCTCAAGACCGTGTGCTCTCTCTGGAAGCCAATATCACTGAGTTGAGCAGTCAGCTTAATGAAAGTAAAGAGAAAGTATCACAACTTGATGTACAGGTAATGGAACTCTATGCTGCCTGGCAATGGTAAATCCTGTTTTGATTTCTGTATTCTCTTTGGAGAATGTACAAAGCAATCTGAGAAAAAATTACGTGTTTCTACTTGCAGATAAAGTAAGATAAGGCAGATAAACATGCAGAACATGTAAGTGGATTTAGAATAGGAATAGATAGCAAGGTTGATTTTTGTTTGTTTCTTTGTTGGGTAGGTAATTTTTGGTGGTGGTAGTGGGAGTTCATAATCAAGTTGGGAAAATTTGTCTTCAAGCATCTTTTGTGTTGTATTTGTAATGGTTAATCATCCACAAAACTGCTGTTATCACTCTTAGGTTCTGTGCATCAGAGTGATAGTCTGTCAAGTCATTAAAGATGTTGCTGTTGCCTAGAGATTTCTTGTGCTGGTAGCTTTTACCTAAAACAAAACAAAAGTTGCCTTGTTATCAATTCAATTGAATTAAACAAGGCAATTCCTCACTATAGTCTCAGTGTGGACTTTTCTACAGTTAAGTACTGCTTACACTAAAACCAGTAAATTCTGTTCAGGTATCACAAGGAATCAACAACACCTTGATCAGAAGCTTGACAGACATTGTTTTCTTAAATTAATAAACTTGGAATACCTAGTACAGTTGTTGTTTGATTAATACACTGTGTTAAGTAGTGTTACTCAGTTTCTGAGCAGGTCTAATAACTTCTGTTGTTCTGTGCTGTTTTTCCTGGGCTTTGCTGTAAGACCTGGATTGTTCTTCAACAAGACTTCAGTGCTAAAACAGTAATTTATGGCCTGTTGCATCTGCTTTTTAAGGCAATATGAGCTTTGCTACAGCCTTTTAAGAAGTAATGTTTCTGTTACAGATAAAAAAAAAAAAAAAAAAAAAAAAGCAAGCTGCAGTAGTCAGTGACCCTGACAATTAACTCTATGTACCAACACCATTCATAGCTGCTGTATAAATGTGGTGGCTGGATATTTTGGAAGGAGCGAGGGGTTGCTGCCTGAAATGCCATCAGTAACAGTGAAAGATAGCATACAAATTACAGCATATTTTAGTTATTTTTTAATTCTTTTTGCCTCTAAAAGTTTTAGAGGATCTCAAACATTCATTTAGTGTGAAGTTACCAAGGTGCATGTGTGTGTGGATACATTGTCTATTCCTTTTTTTTTTTCTTGCTTCTATGTAAAAATAATTCCTTAGAAAAGAATATGAATAGTTCTTTAATTCTGTTTTTAGCTTGAAGAAGAAACTAACTGTGGTTTAACACATTGATTTTTTTTTTCTAAAACTTGAAAAAATTTCCCCTTCCCCTTTTTTTTTTCCTAATAGTACATGAAAACTGCTAATGAAGTTACTGATAATAGATACTGTAATGAAGTACAACTTGTCTTTCAGGTAAAAGCAAAAACTGAATTGCTGCTTTCAGCAGAAGCATCAAAAGCTGCTCAAAGAGCAGACCTTCAGAATCATCTGGACACTGCCCAGCATGCACTGCAAGACAAGCAACAGGTTATGAGCAACACGCAAACATAAAGTTCCTATGTTACCTAAAAATCTACTTACAAGCCTAAGAATAGTCTGATTACAAACTACATAAATATGTGACTATGCATTTGGAAATAATCATGCAGGGTATTTTAACCATGTGATGTGTTTTCTGTTCTTTTTGCTGTAATCTGGACCATATGGGTGTAAAGAACTTAACTTGGAAATCCAGTCCTTGCTGTATGTTCAGCCATGGTTTGTGGTCTAAGCTGTGGTATTTGGGTACAGTTCTAACTTGTATGCTATGAAAAGTTTATATAATGCACTGGATTCAATTGAAAACTGTTAACTTGTATTACAGATTCAGATAAATTCAAAATCAAGTCTTTATTCAGAAATAATTATCTGCATGTCAGCTGACAAGAAGACATGAGGGTTGTTAAAATTGCATGTTTTAGTTTGCATTAATCCAACTACAGCATTCCACCAGGTGCTGAATCAAATATTTGTGTTATTAGAATCCATGCTATTGTCATCTTAGAGAAATATTCAGCACTTCCTAAGGGCACCAATTTTTAGGTGGGAATATAATTAATAGCTGTAAACATAAGACATCTTTTTGGAACTGTTTATTAAACACATAATTAATAATTAACCAAATCAGCTTGCTTGGAGAGTAAGGAGCTTGGGTGTAACTGTCATCTTAGTGATTAAAGGTGAACATGTTTGTGTCTCCTGTGGAAATCACGTTGTTTTGTATTGATCCAATGATCTGGAATGATCTTTGGTGTGGGGAGAGTTTACTGTTCCCATACTGCAGGCTTTCCTCTTTGATGGTGCTTCACTCTTGGGAGACCTCGAGTTTACTCTAAGGTTTTGTAGTGTTACATTCTAGTTATTGCTGTATTAACTCCAGGATCTCGAGCGTTTATGATGTATAGTTCCTCATCTCTTTATAACTTCAAACACATTTTTTAAGTTCTAGTTCATAGCCTGTAAAGTTTGTAAGGGATGTGTTTAACAAAGAGAATTTATTTGTGTTTTTCCATCTCAATTTCCTGCCTCTCAGATTAAAAAGGAAGCATCATTTTCCTTTTTAATTTTAACATATTAGATCACTCAAAGCATATATTCAAAGGACATTACTCATTTCTAGAAGCTATTTAGAAGCTAACAACCCTCTTATTTTTATTTTACCTCAGGAGTTAAATAAGGTCAGTGTTCAGTTGGATCAGGTTACGGCTAAGCTGAATGACAAGCAGGAATACTGTGCTCAGCTGGAAGCCAATCTCAAAGACTACAAAGAGCAACATCTTTATTTAGAACAGAAAACCGAAGAGCTAGAGGGACAGCTTAAGGTTTGTATTGAACACAATGTCTGAGCTTACTGAGACTGATGTTCACTGCTGCTTGGTGATATTTGATAAAAAGCTGTGCTCAAGTTACAGGGAAGGATTTATATGAAGTATGACTTCTGGAGGTTTTCTTTCTCACCAGTGTTCACTGATATACCCTTTAATCATATTCTCTTCTTCTGGGCTCACATATCACACTGAGGTCCCTTTCCTTTAGTGTGCCACTTTCCTTTAGTGTGCTTCTACCAACCTCTATGCCTGGAAGGTGCTGTGAGAGGGAACACAATTACTTCCTGAAATTAGAGTCTTCAGGTTTATACACATTCCAAGGGTGCAAGGGAACGTCTTACATTGGTTAGCACAAGTTAATACTACCTTTTTGGTTTAATTTACTTCTATATATTTTTCTGCTAGTTTGATCTTGCATTTTGCGTTCTGTTCCTGGGCGTAGCTTTTCTCTTACGTTGCCAATCATTAAGTTTACAGAACCTTCAGACGTTTTCCTATACTAATGTTTTCAATTATTGATATGAATTACTCCCAATTATGAATTAAATTACTCCTAGTACTTCAGTGTTTTAAAATTTCAGGTTTACATTTTAATGTTGTTTCTTGTTAAACGTTCTTGAGAGTCAAAATCACAATACATGAAACCACATAATAGATCTTAGGAGCAGTGTAGAATTTTTTTGTGGTGCTATGTATCTGTTTTTTGGAGGAGATTAGCAGTCTAGAAGGTGTTTTTCCTAGCTTATGTGCTTTTCTACCTGCTTTCATTTGTGTTTTATATTTCTTTTGCCAAAGTTTTGCAAGTAACCAATAGACTCAAATGCTTAGGAGAAATACACTGTTTACTTGCACAAGATTTGATGAGGTCCCTGGTAGCTGAAGTGTGAAACTGAGCAGGGTTGTTGATGCTTTCTACAGGAATGCAATTGTGTGTGAAAGTCTTCATGTCATCACCATTCTTTGTGTTATTCCAGTTGAATGCATGGTATTTAAAAGGAGGAAAAAAACACACAACAAACAACAGAAATCCTCAGGAATTTTCTCAGAGGAACTTGATGATTTTGTATTGTGACCACTGCTTAAAACCAGAAGTGCCTATAAAGCAATGTGTTGAAGAGTCTAAGCAGTACCTGATTGCTGTACTGTTTGTATTCCATATAAACAAACAAATACCTTCTAAAAATGAAACAAAATAAACCCTCTTTTAGATGAGCACAGGATTTCTTTATACCCGTAGCTCATGTCTTTGTTGTTACAAAGAATGTCAGAGTTGAGGCTATGTAAACCAGTAGTCATTTGAAACTGCTGAAACTGTCAGTAGTTGAGAACCTAGCTCCAAAGCCATGCGCTGTATAATGGCTTTTTAAAGATGTCTCTGTTTTACTTATTACTTTGCTTGCATTTAATTTAAAGGTGATTTCAGAATGCTTTACCAAAGTAGTTCACTTTTAGGGGACCGAAAGAGTTGCAGGAACTAAATAATGAAGGGCAAGTGGCCAACTAATGAAAGAGATGGATAGTGTGTGAGAATTTAGAAACTGCTTTCTATAGTAAGGGCTTTCCAGTAAATACTGCTGAATGACAGTACTTTTGTTTTATTGGCTGTTTTCCAATGGCTCTAACTTTTCTGTTTTTTTATCTCAGAAACTTGAGGCTGACGTTCTTGATGCTAAAGCAAGCAAAGAACAAGCTCTTCAGGAGTTACAGCAGCAACGACAGCAATCTACAGGATTAGACCTCCGAATAGCAGAGCTGAGTAAACAACTTGAAGCAGAAAAAGAAGCGTATGTGTTTCCTGTGTTGTAGTACTTTTTGAAGTCGGACATAGAACTAGAGTGGTTTGGAGTACACTTAAAATTTTGTTCTTCCCTCCTGTAATTTCATAAAATCATAGATCAAAGTGATGTATTCCCTCTGCTAGGAGATCTGAGTTAGGTCCCAGTTGTTTTCTTGTACTTTACTTGCTATGCAGACTCCATCTGCCACATCATCTCATGTGAATCACTCACTGCTGTGATTCAGTGCATTCCAGGTTATTCACTGTGCTTTCAGTTAAATATCTGAACAGTTTGAAGGACTAAGATCCATCTTGATGTATCCACAGCTCTGTATCTTTCAAAGATTAATTTGTGGTTTTTGCATAAGAAGTGAAGGAGTAGATCCTATTCACAGTATTTGAGGAAGGAAAAATCCATCTCAAAGTAGTGTTTAAAGTTGCTGATACATCTTCACTAAAGAGAAAAAACGCTCATGTTCTAAAATAAAAAGGCATTCTTTGAGTTAGCTCTACAGTTAATATTCTTAAATAGAGATGTTTAGTGATACAAAGAACCTGTGAAGAACAACTTAAAAAAATCTATTTTTCTCTGTTTGGTTTTGTATTTGCAGTATGTCTAGTGCTAAATTGGATTTACAGAAGAAATCTGAGGCCCTTGAACAAGCAAAACAGCAAATTTCAAAGCAAGAGGAGGAAAATGCCAGCCTCAAAAGAAATCTCGAGAAATCAAGTCAAGATAGAAGTAAACAACTCAAGGAATTAGACTGTAAAATGCAAGCAGCAACATCAGAGCTGCAACAGGTGAAATTAGAGAAGGATACTCTGCTAAAGGACCTTACAGCTACCAAAGAGAAACTCTCAAAAAGTTCTGAATCCTTCAAAAAAAGGAAGGAAGAATTAGAAAAAGAAATAGAAAAAGGAAAAGCAGCTGTAGCAGAAATGGTCAGTAGCTTTGTTCATTACACATTAAGTCTGAAGTATTTATTGTCTGATATTAAAACAGGTTTCTGACTGAAAGTAGCGTATATGTGATAAGACTGCATGGAAATTAATTAGTGCCACTGTGTTGAAGAAAAATGAAGAGAGGCCATTTTAGTTTCCTTTCCTTAGCCTTTTGTGTAGAACCTTCCTGTGCACTTGCCTGAACATCCTAGAAAGCTTCATACTGCAGCCAGAATAATGTCATCTCTTGTTTTGGGAGATGCCTAACTTAAGAGTATACATATATATGAGCACATACATACGTATTATTTCAGTTTCAGAGAAGTCTAGTACATGGCAGTATAGTAACAAATACTTCACACAAACAGTTGCTATGGTAAGAAGAACTAGACTAGACTAGTAAGATTCCTACTAGCCTTAAAATATACCTTTTTTTTCTTCTTCCTTTTGCTTTGTTGGAAATACAACTGATGACTGTAACAATAAATATTCAAATATCTTGCATGTCCCCATTTCCTAGAACCCATATGTAGCTACTTTTTTTCTACTCTATTAAAAAATAAATCTGCTTCTAGTTAAAAATAACACTTTTTCCTTTCCTCCTTCAGCTTTTTAAGATAAGCTTTTTTGCTTGCTTTAGTTACTGCTATTTAAATATTTGTTTTTCCTAAAAGCTTGAAGGATTTTCTCCCGAGCTTAGACTTTCCAGATTCTGCTTCTAATCATTGGAAGTCTCATCACTGACTTAAGTACTTAGAATGTTGTTCACATAATAATATTGCAAATGTATTTGCTCATGAGTTTTAGAACATCAAGAAATTTTGAATCCTGAGAGAGAAATGAGTGCTTGCTATAAGAAGAAGGCTGCCAATAGCAGCTTCCACAAAGGAGACTGTTCCTAATCAGAAAATCTTTTTGGCACACAGCTGCCTTAAAGTATGTGTTATCAGCAGTGGTCAGCTTAGATTTCTCACTATTAGTGACTGGAATTTTTAACTTAAAATGTCCCCAACTGAGGAGGAAAGCATTTTTACTGGAAAAAAAAACAACCACAAATATTCTCTATAAAGGCTTTTGTAGCTCTTATGAAAATACCTGGCATTTGGTCTTAGAAGCTCCCAGAAATATTTGCTTGTCTTCTGTTTTATAGGAAAAATCTTACCAAGAAGTAAAACAGCAGCTCCAGGTACAGACAGAGTCTGTAGCTAAAGAGAGGAATGAATTGAAAAACTCACTGGAAAAAAAGGAGGGGGTAAGCTGTCTGCTTATTTAGTATGTAAAAAAATCAAGAAAAGAGTAATAACGTTGAAAAGATTGATTTTTCAGTTTCTCAGGCTGGGATTGTTGAGGGAAAAAGAAGGTTGCAGTTTTCAAATTGTAACCCATTTGGGACTTTAAAATAAGGTAATAGTAAAAAATTCCTAGATGTATTTTAGAATACAGGTTCCACTCTTACTTATCTGTGCTCTGCATGCCAATTTGGCCCTGCAGTTTCTTCATTATGGAAGCAGTTATTTTTTATTACTGTGTCCTCATTTGCTTTCAAACTTATGGTCTGTGAACAATGGAATTGTTTATTTTATATCCTTAGATCTGTTTTCAGCTTGGGCATCACTGTGTTGCCTAATCTGTATGTTCCACGTGTGGTTTACAGGAAATTTTCATTTATTCTTGAGGATTTGTTTGCTTTTGCAAACTTTTATAATTGTCTATGGCTACATACAAGTACGTGTCTGTGGCTACGTCCCAAGTAAACTTTTTTAAAGATGAGCATTCAGACAAAATCATTTAGTTCAGCTAGTATGCTGAAGACCAAGTCCATTTTTATGTATTTCTTTACCTAAACTGTCACGTTTTCCTTAAAGGAACCAGGAAATCGTAATGAGCAGTGGGCACGTTTTGAACTGTGGTGGATTCTTGCTGCCTGAAAGAGGGTTTGTGAATGTGCAGGTGTAATGCTTACAGACAAGACCCTTCCTCAGTCTCCTGCTGCTACTCTGTCTCCTCTCTTGTTCTGGCAGAAGCACTGGCAGTGCTCTGTGGCAAGTGCAGGAGGGTGAGTTTGGTATCTGCTACAGCTGGCAGCAGGAGAGCACAGATCACTGCTGGCTGGAAAAAAGCCACTTGCTTTTAATTTTGAATGGGAAAAAAAGACTGGAGCTGACCTAAGGGTAGTAGATTGAAAATAAGAGGTTATCTTTGTGGTATAGATATTCTTAAAATCTAAATCTGGTTATCAGTGTTCTTTATTATCCAGCTCTGAAGAAGGAGCTAGTAGCAGTGACACTGAGGGATGGTCTGGTTCTGTATGCAGGAAACAGTGCATCCTTGGAAACTCTGCTACAAATAACCTGCAGATTATTTAAAAAATGTAAGAACAAGTATACTGACTCGCGAGAAAGATACTGCCTGGTACAGAGCAAAGCAGCAGATGCATAGAGGGATGTAGAAGAAGGCTTTGTAACCTTTCAAGTTACAACCAGGGGGCAGTCCCCAACTTGTAGCAGTGTTTTGGATGAGCCAAAGACAACATCTTCAGCTTTAACAGCTTTGACTGGTTTTTCATTTGTGAATTTGTCTGTTTGCAATTTTGACTGTACAGTTTGTTAAACACACAGTTCGATGGGCAGTTACAGGTATACATAGTGATTTAAATTAAAATTATATACAGTTATTTAATATTTTTGAATATAGATTTCTAAGCAATTGTCGATAGAACTTGACTCAACACGAGCGCAAGTACTGGAAATTCAGGGTCTTCTGAAAGAGAAAGAGAACAGTGAGCAGCATCTTCAGGGAAAGCTGAGAGAGATAAAGGAATCTTTTGAGCAGAAGAAAAAGCATAGTGAAACACTGCAAGCTGAATTAAAAACTGCCCTTTTAGAAAAGGTAAGGCTGGCGTCTCATATTCCTTTAAGAAAATTAATATACATTTATGTGATAAATGCTGCAACTTTTATGCCAATGTCTTTGTGATAAACAGCTATTTAATGTAGTCTTGTTCAAAAGGAGAAGGTCAGGATGTGGAATCAAGTTCTTCAACAGTCGATGCTGAAATGTACAGATTCTGTAGGAGCTGAGTTTCAATACATTGGTTAAAAAAAAAAAAAAAAAAAAAAGGCTAGATTGAATATTTTTATGTTGCTTCGGGAAGATGCTATGAAACAAGAGCTGCTCTTTTCCTGTAAAGCAGTAGAAAGTTTTGCGAGAGCAGTTTAGACAAACTCTGCAGTGTTTTGGAATGTCCGTGGCAGTTTTAAACTAACTCTTTTATTATACCAAAAGAATTTAACTGAGTGACAGTATGAAACCCATAAACCATAATGGAAGGAGTTCAAATGCTTTCCAACATGAGAGAATGTTGTGTTGCGTGCCATGCTCTGTTAAATGTTGCTCCAGCTTTGGCTGCCCTGTGCTACGTGTTCCAACTTGTGCTTTAGTCGGACTATGGAAACTGTAGGACTTAAAGTATTACTTAGATTTTCAATGTTAGGTCTTATTATGCTTAACTTTATCTTCTGATTTGAATTAAGTGTTGTTGTTAAATTAGTTACAAAATATTGCTATAAAACTGTTAATATTAGATTACTAAATGGCTATTTCGTAAGTGGAAAAAAAAATTAGTTTTGCAGTAGAAATGTGGTTTATTGAAATGGTTAAGAATACTGTCTGTAACTTTTACTGGCACTTTCTATGCTTATGTTTCAGGCAGAACTGGAGAATAAACTGCAACAGCAGACTATTTTGTCAGCTCAGGAGCTTAAAGCAGAGAAAGGAAAACTAGCAGACTTACAGAAGACCCATGAAAAAAATAAGGAAAACATGGAAAAGCTGCAACTGGACCTGTATGGGAAAGAGTCTGAGCTGTTGGCAACCAGGCAAGACCTTAAGGTACTTAGAGACATTTTAATGCTATGTGTGACTTAATAGATCTGTGAGTATCCTTTCTGAAGACAGAGAACTGTACGGGGTAAGAAAAGAAGTCCCTTTCTATAAAAAGAATTTAGTGATGCTCAATCCCTTCTTGTGGGCCAGAGAACACAGTGAAATTTGTTTCAAGCCACAAGTATTTGCTAGTTTACCTGAGCTACCTTTCCATTCGTGCAGTGGCAGTATGAGCTGCAGGAGCAAAGTGAAAGATGATTTATTTTTTTATTATTTTAAGAAGTTTTCTCATTTTTCTTGTACCTTTCAACCAATTTAAATAGCATAATGAGAGCAAAGTTGCTGACAGAACATGAGTAACTGCTGCCTCCTAGATAATCTGACTAGAATTTTTGTTTTTAGTCTTTTCCTGTATTCTTGCCTCTTCCATTACTTCCTGGCTGATCATAGACTTTCAGAGATGTCAATCTAATAGAAACAGTAGGCTTAGTGACCTGCCTGGAATGCAGATGTCTAAATGTAGTCCTTCAAATTTTTGCTATTCTGAAGCAGAATTTACTTGATTTGGTATTAGGGTTTAATGCCTTTAAAAAAATCTTGTTGTGAATCGAGTCAGTAAAAAAAGGTGTTTGTTCTTTTCCTTTGTTCCTTCCTCCTTCATGTCGGAGATAAACCAGTTAGTCTAAGGCCATGCTGTGCTGCAGAGATGTGTGGCTTTGGCTCCTTTCACTTGCAGAATTGAGTGGGTTTCATTGCCCATGTCTGATGCTGTTGATTTAGGCTTTTCTGAAGTTCTTGGAGAGCAGTAGGCATGTCTGCAGAACTGGCCATCTCATTCATTTTAGATGTTGGCTTCTGTTTGTGTTTGATGACTGCTTAGATTGAGTAGCTCCTTTTCACCTGTCTGAGTGCAAGTGTTTCAGTCCCATCCTTGTAGTATTAAAGACCTTGGAGCCATTCTGGATAGCTCCATGTGAGCTGTGGAGGCCTAGCCAAATTCCAGGTTTGGGGTTACTTTAACAAAAAGAGAAATAGCTCCTTTATGCACCTGTCATTGAATCATTCCCCTAATCATTCTTCTCCTCTGTGGCATTAGAATACCTGCTATTTTCATGCAAGTTAGAGAAACTTTGTTTTCAGTGCTTCTTGTTTGAATCTTTATATATATAGATATAAAGAGCTTTTGCCTGCTTATGAACGAAGGTGGTTTAAACATGCCTAGGGTTAGTGACTATAGCATGCTACCCCTCCTTTTTGAGTTTGTTTCCCACTGTAGACTTAGTAATGCAGTGACCTGTAAATTTATCAAATGTGCTCAATAAATCTTTTTGGTATAATTAATTTAAATATTGCTTGTCGTAGAAATAGCTCTGAATAAGTATTATTAAACCAGCTTGATGACCTCTAGTTTTGGCAGATATGGAGTAGGACAGTAGATGTCACACATGTTTTTACACCTGAATCAGGATGATGGTGAGAAATGGAAGATCTGTGCAAAAAGGTAAAATAAGGTGACAGGAACAGGTGACTAGCAATGCTTGTAGTACATAAGTAAAGTGTCTAGCAACAGGAAAGTAAAGTTGTTAATGCAAGCAGGCCGATAACTTAATGTATCATGTGGAATATCTCTGAAACCCAGAGGGCCTCAGGAAGTGGAGGTGATGTACCACTTTGGAGGCTGTTTGCTTGGTTATTTATGCATTTATGCATAATAATTAGGGCTAGTATGGTTTTCTTGGCACTGCTTTTGTTTTTGTTTTTGTTTTTTTTTTGCTGTAAAATTTAGAAGAGGGAAAAGGATGATGGGAATATATGCTTAATTGTGGCTGTGCTGTCTCACTGCAATATTAAGTGAAAGTAGTAGTGATAACTTGTCTTAAAAGACAGCAAAGAAGGAAGTGTTGAGGAAGGTTTGTTTTGAGAGCTGAATATGTAAATATTGCTCAAGTCAGAAGAACCATATGACAGAATTTCATATTTTGGTTCCACATCAGTTATCTCTGATTTGTTTAGACTTAGAGAATTTGCTTAGTTAAGATTTGAGCCACAGCTAGGAATTTCTGGGTAGTGTAGAATGAATGCTGATAGGAGGCCTAGGGTTCAGAATGGACTTGATGTTATTAGTAGGCAGTAGCTGAAGCTTTTCAAACTTGTTTATGAGGTAACTTTAGGTGACTTATGCAGGATTTTTGGTAGAAATATGAGCTCCCTGCACAGCTGTGTTTAGTCAGCATGGTTTGAAGCCCAGTGTTGCCCAGCCCAGGCATGGCTAGGCTGTTTTGGAAAATGCCAGCATTGCTAGGCTTGCTTTAGTTTAAAAAAACCTAGAAGTCAAAGCTTAAATATTCCGAATTCATGTAGCATCATGCTGTTGATGAGGCCAGAATTCTTGGATGTGAAGATAGATCAAAAAAGGCTGTGAAGCACAACAGGTGATGTGAGCTGGGTTCCAGGGAGGGGATGGCAGTAGCTGGCTGTACACAGAGCACCATCTGCTGGCTTGTGGCTGTCATGTCACTGCACGATGGTGGCTGAGAACTGCCCGGCTACCCTGTGGCAGAAAGTAGGAAATGCTCATGTGAAGGTTTGCAGCTGGAGATGCAGCACTGCAGGAGAGTGCAGCTCTCATACAGCTGTCTAGCTGGAGTGCTGTCAGCAGAGAATGAGGAACAACCTCTTAAAACTGCAGTTTCTGATTGAAAGAAATAGAAAATAGTTTATGTAGTTTTAGGCAGATGCAAACTTTGGAGCTGTTAGACTCACAGAGAGAAAGTAGGAAATTCTAAAATGAATGATGTTACGGATACTGTGTGCTGCAAATTTAGTTCAGTTTAAAAAAGGCACCTTTGATAGCAGTTAATAAACTTGTGTTTTTGTCTCTGAAAAAAAGATCGGGCATGGTTACAGTGCTTGTAAAAGCTATAGTTTTTTATATATTACTATTTTTATATATATATATATAAATGAGATTCTATTTTTTTTTTTTTCTGGAAATGCCTATTTACAAGAGTTAATGAAAATGCATAACTGGTACTTCTTCCTTCGTTTTGAGTTAGTGCAAACATACTTTGTGTTCTGCTCTCTTGAACTCTGCCAAATCTTCTTCTGTCTTGGCATCAGTGCTTTTTGTAGTCGATCCTGGTTTCTTCTGTGTTCTCAAAAGAATGTTTCTTCGCCTCCAACATTGGCATCGCTGTCTGTGTATCTTCAGTGGATGTTCTGGGAGAGTATGGTGCCAAACCTCAGGTCTGTAAGTCAGGAGACTATGTTGCCTACAGTCAGTCTAATCCTACTGCTGAAGACATGAAGCAACATAAGGTTAACATCAGTGTTAATATGTATGTTAATAGTATGGAAGGAGGAGAGGGGCACACAGACAAAACTGGCTCGTCTGTGCACCTCTCTTAAATGGAATGAATCCAGGTCATGGGATCCAGCTGGTTCTTGCAGTGCAGCCCAAGTTGTATAAGATCAGGCTGAGATGACTGCTTAGCTATACCAGCCAAACTGACATCTGTTTTTATTTACAATAATAAATACAGATTGCCTTCTTTTGTTTTGTACATTTTCCTAGCATTTTGTTTTCTTTGTCCTGCTAAAGAGCAATCTCATGACTTGCTGGGAGCACACCTGTTGTTTTCTGGAAACAGTGCCAAAACTGAATAATGAAGGTGAATAGCATCAGATGTTGTGAGAGATGATTTTATGTTAAAGATGTGAACTCCTCAGCAGCCCAAAAGAATCAGGCTGAACTGCAGTCTTGATGGAGACTGAGCCAGGATAACTGGAATGGTTAGCTGTGTGCCAGATCTCTGCTTGTTTCCAAAGGGTGCTGTGTGGGATTTTTGAGCAAAGCAGAAAGAAAGGCACAGATAAATAGAAGGTGAATTGACTGGTAGAGTTATATTAAATGGCATCCCAGATAAGCTCAGTAGCATTATTACTAATCATAGCACAATTAAAAGTCACTTGCTGTATGGGAGCTATAGTATGCTAAGTGTGTTCAAAATTTAGATTCCCTTATATTACAGACTACTGTAATATACATTTGTGTATAGTACTATGCAGAGTAGGCTGAATGCTGGCAGTGTTCCATCACTAAGTCTGATTTTTTTTCCAGCAAAATGCTTCAGATACTACAGATTAGGGTTAGGAAAGATCAGAAATCGATTTGTATTTTAATGAAGATGGGAGCTGCTAAAGCAGATGTATAATTAAGTCAAAGTTGTTTTAGTTCAGTGGTTTTTAAAAGAAACAATAAGTACAAGGAGCTTAATTAGAATTTAGAAAGAAGAGTATCAGCAAAAATAGGTAATTGTGAAAGAATTTAAATCCTTAATGGTGCACTAAAGGTAATAAATGACTCACTAACAATAAATCTCTCCACCTCACACTGTATCTTCACATCAAATATTTCCAGAAAGTAGCTAGATTTTGGTGGTGTGAAAGATGAGTTTTTAAATTTTCTTTCTTATCGCTTCTTTTTGAAAGAACATGCTTCTACATGTTAGCTAGCATATGCCTAAGCCAAAGGCACAGAAAAAAACCCCAACACTTTGAGAATAGTAAATTAAGAAGAGCTCCTAAGTTTGACTTTGCTGTGAGCGAATAGAATGAGTCTTGGGAGCAAGTTTTAAGTTATTGCTTGGGTTTCTGTGACCGAAATACAGAGAGACATCCAAATTTGTTTTCTGTGTAATGGGGAGTACTGAATAATAAATAAGCAAATAAAATTACAGTCTGTAATAGATTTTGAGTGGAAGATTACATTTTGTTTGAAATGCTAATGAAGCTGATACTATTAAGCATTTTGTCCCAATATTAGCACTTCTTAGGTTGTGCATTACACTTCATGGTTCTAAAAAAAAATTTGTGACTGTTAGTGCTAGCTTCCTTAAGGTACTGGAAAAAAGGAATACTGAATGACTTCTGAAAACTTCATGCTATGGCTTCAGTGCCACTTAATTAACAGCTGTATAGTGGTTGATTTAGCCTGAGAGTAAACTCAGTTAGAGTAAACAAAGTCAAACTCATTCTCTTTTCATCAGTCACCTTTCCTTCTTTGCACTTTCATATGCTTTCGCATTTTGTCTGTGGAAGGGTGCAAACTGGAGTATGTATGGTAAGGTACTATTGATGAAACATTTCTGGGTAGTTTCTTTTTACTAGGGGTGATTTTATGGCCTAGAAGTCCCTGTAGCTATACTTTGTCAACCTTTGAAGTGAAGCATTGCATGGTAGGTGACAGTTTTTTCCAGTGGAAAATGACTAGATGAGTATCAAGTATCTGAAGGTCTTGTACCTGCTGGGTAATCTGCAGAGCTGTCTTTGTAATTAGTCCACAGAAGAAAAACTGGCTCTTGCTCAAGAAGAATTAGTTTCCAGCAGAAATCGAATTGCCAGCAATAATCAGCAGATTCAGGAACTGAAGAAAGCAAAGTCAATGCTGGAACAGGATGCATCAAAGAAGGAGCAGCAACTGGGCGAGAAGACCAAAATGCTACAGGATCTTCAGAATGAGAGGGTAAATGTCTCTGTCTTTTGAAGACTTCACACAGACACTCAGAGACTTCCCCTGCCGTCTCCTTTCCATTAATTCCTGCTGGATTTCTAAACAAGGGTTATTTGGGGGGCATGGCGCTGTTGTAGAGCGTAGCAACAGCAATTTTACTGAATCTGTGGTGCCAAAACTCTTCACAGACAGTTGAAGTGAATTTGCTCCAAAATAGGCTGTTAATTTGAACTAAGTGGCTAGACATGCAAGAAAACATCATTAGTTTTAAACCTAAAACAGTAAATATGCTGCTAATTGTTTCCACTACTAATTGTGGATAGAGATACAGTTATGTGGCAATTGGTTTCCTACTTGGAACTTTTGCAGTCAATTGGTTTGGGTTCTAAACTTTTTTTTTCTCTAAGTGAATTTGGAAATCATTTCTTTAGTGCCTTTTTAATACTTTTTATTTATTATTTTTCTTCAAGATTTTGAAAGAAAAAGACTTAGCTAATGAAAAATGTAAAACAACAGAGCTCCAGGAAATAAGGAATAGACTTGAAAAAGAAAGTGCCAAGCTGAACGAAGAGCTTAGAATCTGCAAGCAAGAATTTGAGAAGGTATATTGAGACAAACTGAGTCTTCATATGGTTGGTTATCTGATAAGAAATATGTGCCTACTCAGTAGATGTTATCTGGAATGGCTTTACAAAGATGGTAAGATTACAGGTAAGGGAACCAAAGCACAGATTTCATTGAGGTTCCTGAGCAATGCAGACTTGCTTAGTGATAATCCAGGAGCTCTGGTGCCTGCTGTTCTTGGCCAGGTGGACACAAAACTTGTGTTAGTTTCAGGGATGGGCAGAATGTGCAAATCCTGCCTCTTTTTCCAATTCACTGTGGGTTCATTGTGAATACCCATACTTGACTATGCTGAAATGCAGAAAAGATGTCCAAAAGTATAATGAATATTAGTTTCCCAGATATTCTAGGCACATCTAATACTTCTCAAGTATGTGTGGTAGTGGTTCCAGCTCCCTTGATGTGATGTTTTTAAATTTTCTTGAAGTGTCATACTCTGGAAGAAAAAACAATGTCAGGAGCCTCATTAAAGATCAACTCTTTTCCAAAATCAGGACAATCAAATGAGCAGTTTAAAGGGTAAAAACCTGGAGATATCAAATAAATAATTTTTAGTCTCGAGTAAAGCAGTTGACTTATTACCACGTTCTACACATTTTAGTCTCTTTGGAAATGAAACTCCTAAAAGGCTATTGGTGTACTTTCTATGTGATACTGTAAGTAATTATATTAACATCTGTTAAACATACAGCATTTAAGTTGCTGCACAAGGGTAGGGACTCCACCTATATAATGGAAGTTAATCTTAAGTTATATTTCAGATGTTCTTTTGTTCTCTAGTGTTTAAAAAGTGGTCTTTTCGGTTTAGATAGAAATCTGTGATTTGTTACTGTCAAGCAGTCTATGCCCAGCAATTTCTTGGGTTTGGAGAATGCTTATTGTAATTGTCATGACTTCATGAAATCTGCTTTAAAAGAGAAAACTTACATATAATTGTGTACACCAATGGCAGCTTCATGTTTATCTCTTGATTTGTATACTAGTAGTCAGACTAAAGCAAAAATTGTTTCTTACAGTCCCTTACTCTGTTTTCCATCTCTTGCCCAGGGAGTGTATAGATGTACTTTTTATAGGACATCCACTTGTCTTCAGGTTATATTTTCTTGCTGTCTTTGGATTAATTTTAACTTGTGGTGGAAATTTTGATTTATTTCCATTATAAAGCTGACAGTGTCTATTAACCTGTTAGTATCTGCCAGCTTGGCTGTGCAATTGTAAGGAAAAGGATTCCTATAAATTCAACTATGTATTCTACTTCAAGATTTATTTATTTTTTAATACAGAGAAACAAACTAATGTTTAGAACCAGATGTATCATTATGCTTGCTTAAAACTTAGTGAATAAACTTAGTGAATATACTTACACATTTAAGATGAAGACAAACCAGCTGTTATGTTGAGTTTTTATCTTGTCATTCTTACATTTTTAAGGTGATCAGTGCAACCAAAGAACAATGTGAAGTAAATTTACATCTGACTCTAGAAAATGACAAAGGGCATTTCTTTTCAATGAATTTTAGAAAATAATCCAACAAAGCTTCTGTTATCGTAGTAGAAAAAATAGTACATTAAATTCATTTAAAGTAATTGAGTGTTATTAATGTATGTGTAAGCTTAAAATCTTTGACCATGGAAATCACTGACACTTGTGCTATAAAACCATCCGCTTTTCCAGTGATAAAATGAACAAATACTGCTGTGCTCTTACTGGAAAACAATTACTGCTTTTGAATTTAAGTAAACAGCATTTCAGATGTTGCCTCTCTGACTTTGGGCTCTTCATCCTAACAGGAGGTGGCAAATCTCAAGGATGCGAAACAGCTACTGATTCAACAGAAATTAGAGCTTCAGGGCAAGATAGATAATATGAATACATCCCTGGAACAGGAGAAGAAAAACCAACAAGCTGTCAAAGATCAGCTGAAAAAGAGAGAAGAGGAACTGAAGAAAGAATGTGCTGAAATTGAAGCCAAACTGGTTAGTATGGAGAGACTATAAGAGTGTTTTGCGAACATGCCTTTGGATTGTTTCGGAGCAGAGAGGAAGCAGAGAGTTAACATTAATTTTTAAATGACAAAATTAGAGATCTTCGAGGCATTTAATAGTGTGGGAAAATTCAGTAGGAGACGATCTTTTTAAAATAAGTTTCATTGGATAAAAGTAACGATTCTAGTATGGTAAAGATTTTTTTGCCTCAATTAAATATAAGGAATATGGAAGGTTGTTTTTCATGTTTTTTGTGTCTTATTTAGCACTCAGAGGTGAAAGAGAAAGAAGAAGAAAACCGGAAACATGAGGAGAAGGAGACCAAGCTCACCATGCAGGTCACAGCTCTGAATGAAAACCTGGCTACCATGAAGAAAGAGTGGCAAAGCAGTCAGAGACGAGTTAGCGAACTGGAGAAACAGACAGACGATTTACGTGGGGACATTGCTGTCTTGGAAGCAACTGTGCAGAATAATCAGGATGAGAGAAGAGCATTGCTAGAGAGGTAAGGAGGGGGAGTCATGGTGATGTGGAAGTGTAATTTAGGAAATGGTTAGCCTTACACCAAAGCTTCTTTCAGTTGATTCAGGATTCTGCATTTAAATCCATGGTTGCTGCTCGCACCTGGGCTTTTGGCTTTGGTTTTTGAGAGTTTTCTGTTGTTCCTGCCAAAGCACAGCAGCAAGTGTTGTTGTGAAAAAACTGTACTCTCTGTGTTTGACAGGGTGATTACATTGCAGGAAGTCAAGCAGACTTATCAGATCCTTACTTCACCAGAGTATCATATTTGTGCCTGTGCTTAAAGATTTATGCCAATCCTCAGGAGCCTTCTAAATCTATTGGGTGCCTCTAAACTTTGAGGTGTGTAGGTTGTGGCTTCTTATCTCATCTGTTGCGTGAGCCTCACAAAGCCTGGCAAGAATGAGCCTCTCTTAACTAGGAAACCTCCCCTTCATCACTCTGAGGCTCTTCTGTTTTGAATGAATCAGAACAGATGCGCTAATAATCTTGATAGCTAGACCCGGCTCCTTAGTACCTCCTATAACAAAGAATTAGCTCAGATTTCTAGGTATGTCTAGTACTCATGTTAGAAGGCTGAACATGTAATTGGCTTAGACAGACTTCCTAGGATTAACACAATCATTATCTTCCTCCTGAAAATCTAAAATCTTCATTTCTCCAGTTATTTTTTAATCTCTTTAGTGCATTTATTAAGAACTATGCAAGCAGAGCTGCTTTCCTTCAGACAGCAGGAGGCCTGCAAGGCAGCGGGAGTTATCTGAAAGCAGAGATTACAAGGGTTGCAACATCTGCAAGACTGGAAACTTTTCCATCTATTTCCTGAGATGTTTGGTGAAGGCAGAATGGAAAACTTTTATCTCTCCTGTCAAGCTTGTTGATTGGATTTGGGGAAAAAAATGGGATGAGTTCAAATCAGATTCTTTTTCCTTGACAGTTCACACTATGCTGAGCTCATCCAGTTACCCTTTTACAGCTTAGTAGCAAAACATGTTTTAAAATCTAGCTTTCAACAGTTAGCTGCATTTTAGCTGATGGGAAGTGGCCTTACTGAAAGAAAAGGTTACTTTTCTCCTCTGTTATCTGAGCTGATCTATTACAGGTGCTTTGTGACAGTGTCCTGTAGCACAGTGATGTTTATCGGAGGATGCTGATTAATGAGCTGCATTCAGTACTGTCTCTGGTGCTGGGAATAGCCCCAGGTATTAATAAACGCCAGATATCTGGGAGTAATGCCAGATAATCTGAAATTGGTTGTTATAACAGAATATTTTTTCCAGCCAAGGCATCCAAGAACTTTTCACAGCAAGTATATTTTCAGATGGACTTTACAACATTAACTATTCTTCTCAATCACGAGAACCTGCTTATAGGAGGCAGAGTACATCTCCTTATATGCTTTGAACTGACTGTTCACTGTTTATCCTTAGGTGTATAAAAAGTGAGGGAGAAATTGAAAAGCTTCAATCCAAACTTGTAGAAATGAAGAAAAAGCTGGACAACACTACTGCTGCAATGCAGGAGCTAGGCCGAGAAAACCAGTCATTACAGGTATAATTTGATTTTAAGCAATTAAACCTGTTGATTCTGTCTGTGGGGCTTGTGAGAAACAAAGGTTGCATCACATTCATGGTGGGTTACTTTTCCACAGTGATTAAGGTGTTCCTGTGTTGCACAAGAACAATATTGCTTTCTGTAGGTTAACTCTGCTCAAAATTTTATTTTGGAGAAAACACGAGCTGTCAGTGTTATGGCAGAGCTGGTGCTTTTACTGCATAGTATGTGCAATGAAATTGAGCAAATTAGGAGGAATTAGATATGCATTTTGATTTTTATTATTTTTGTAAATTTAAATAGATCAAACACACCCAAGCTCTCAACAGGAAATGGGCAGAAGACAACGAGGTACAGAATTGTATGGCCTGTGGAAAAGGCTTTTCAGTGACAGTGAGAAGGGTAAGTGTGTTTTCCTGTGTTTCTGTGAGGATTTTCTTTTTTCGGTTGCTTTCAAGCTATTTTACATGTGATACACTTTAGAAAATGGCTTTAAAAGTGTTGTGATATTTGAGATGTCTCAGAATACAGGTACTGCTTATGATGCCTTAAATACTAAAGTTAATGTTTGTGGGGCTTACTGTATTCATGCTTGCCATTTTAAAAACATTAATCTATAAACAGCGTTAAAGATTTCAGGCCCCAGGCAAGCAAAATTATATTGTTATGAGTGTAACCATTCTGGACTGGATTTACAAGTGGAAAAAGTAAGATGAATTTGTTGAAACTGGATACGTGTAAAAATATGAGACATTAACATGAGCTTTGTGACTGTATCTTTTGTAAGCTCTAGCTAGACACAGAACAGAACAAACAACTGTCTGTGCTTGAGGTCTGTGAAACAGCTGTAGTCAGGTAAGGTGTTAGCACCCCTTCATTGGCGGGGTCTGCTCTTCATCCAGAGATTATCATTATATTCCTCCATCAAGTGACTTGGCAGTGAAGTAGTTGAGGGATATTCATGAGGTTTATTTTGCAGTGCTTCCTGCCATCTTGTTAGGTGGTTCTCCTTGTCCTGTGTTATGTGTTGTCATGTCTTTTGGATAGTCTTTGAACAAAGGCTTCTGGATTGTTTTATTCAAGGGTAGATTCCTAATATGAAAGCAGAAAGGAAGAACATGTTTTATGCAACCAAAAAAAGTTGAAGAGGAGAAATTAATAAGGAGAATTAGTTGCAACCGCTTCAGTTCTGAAACTTAGCATAAACAGCACTCAGTGAAGCAGAACTTCTAATGATTTTACTCCTATATCCTTTAGAAAGGGTTTATCCTGTGCTCTTCTATGTAGATATAAGCTCAGGGTGCTGTGTAACTACTATTTAAAAATTCAAACTTCTAAGACATGAGAGAGTTGAGTTGACGTGATAATGATCTCTTAATGATCTATCCACTGTAATCAATATTCACAATAAATGTTTGTTTTCTCTTTCACAGCATCACTGTAGACAGTGTGGAAATATCTTTTGTGCTGAGTGCTCAGCAAAGAATGCCTTAACTCCTTCTTCTAAGAAGCCTGTCCGAGTCTGTGATACTTGCTTTAATGACTTGCAAGGATAACTGGTGTGAGTGACAAAGAAATGTTACACTAAAATTTATAATTTCTGTTGATGCACTTCATTCAGCACTCAGACTACTACTCAGTTTGGACAATGATTGTAACACTTGGCAAAATTTAGTATATTTTAAAATGTTTATTGATACCAAGTAAAACTATTGTATTTTTTGTGAGATATGGGCTCAGATCACCCAAGCTTATTGCCGTCTATCCTGGAAAGAGCTTCTATGTCTAGATTAGAAATACCCAGTTATTTGTAAATAAAGTTTAAACAGAGGAGTAACAATGTATTTTTTTATCTTTATTTTTTTTTTTCAAGAGAAAATGCATTTATGTGATACTGCAGTTTATTCTTGTTTCCTTCAATGGAAAAGGAAGATGCAAAAACTTGTGAGGATTTTGTGTATCAAATGTTGCTGTAATAGCATAACTCATTGTTGCATTTAATTGTGTATCTGATGGTCTTTATAACCCCTTGTAGTTTTGTTTTCTTTCTCTCTGGTTTTTGGACTTTTCTCTTTAAAGTTTGAACTCCACAGTGAGGGTTAAATGGCTGGAATCAACTCTCAGTTTTATTTGCCCACTTAGAATTTGTAGTATCAGCACCTGAGTTCTTACCCAACTGCAGGACTTGGATACTGGAATATCTTTATGCATACTGTACTGCATAGTATGCGTGTGTATGCATGAACAAATGATGAGACCAAGTTTAGTGGGCATTGTAGGAACATTACACAAAGCTCTCCCACATGGACTGATTTCACTTTTACATATTTGATGAATTGATTTTAATATTTCAGAAACCCTTTACATGCAGGTTTTAAAAAACAGACAGTGTGGATAGTAGCCTGTAGTCCATTTGTCACCATGCCCATACTCTGGAAGCTCCAGGAAGTCCTTGTGGTTCTGAGGCATGTTCTGAAATTCCACACTAGGAATCCTATTTAAGAAAACTCTCTTCAGAGGGTGCTGCAGTTAAGCTGAACTTTTCTCCTGTCTCTTCCTTCACCTTTGGTGGAAAAAGCTGAATACCTGGTACTCCTAACAGACCTCATTTTTCCATTGTTCCATCTGTTCCCTGTTGCTGAGGGTTCTTAAATTGTATGCTAGTTCTATGATTTACACTGCTTAGAATGATGATGCAAATCTCCTGGTGCTGGCTTAGCTTTCAGCCAAACAGCTTTAAATAAGCAGGTAGATACATACAGATTTAGATCATAGATTCATTGAATTGCTTGGGTTGAAAGGGACCTTTAAAGACAACTAACTACTCCAACCCCCTTGCAATGGCCACTAAATCAGGTTGCTCAAAATCCTATCTGACCTGACTTTGAACATTCCCACTGATGGGGCAGCCCCAGCTTCTCTGGGCAATCTTTTCTGGTGTTTACCACTCTTTGTTTGTTCAGATTTCACTTTTCTGTACTAGCAACAGAGGTTTCCTGAACAGAGGTTCCTGTAAATTCCAAATCTTTTTCTTGTGTTTTTCTCTATACTTGCGTTTTTTTCCTGCCTGTGTCTAACTGTGCCTCTCTTTGAAATAATTGTCTGGTGTTGGGCCTCCAAACTATTAATATTATTTCTTCTGAGCTAAGGTTATCTCTTTTGATACTTAGAGCTCCTTTGTCTTGAATACTCTAATAAATTCCTTACAACCCAAGCCATTCTCTGTCTTAAAAAATTGTGCTGGCTGTTCGGAGATAAGGAATATGCCCTCAGTTTTTCTACTCTTTGCCTCCCAAGGTAAAGAAACAAATTCTGTTACAGTGGTGGACAGTTAGCCATCTTTCACAGAATCACAGAATGTCCTGGGTTAGAAGGGACCTCAAGGATCATGAATCTCCAAACCCCCTGCCACATGCAGGGCAATCTTTAGGTTGCCTTGTTTACTTTTATGTACTGACAGCTCTGTATGTGAATGAAGAAGAGACTTTTGTGAAAAATGTCCAGTCCTGACTCTGAAATGAAAAGACTTCTTAATCCCTCTTCCCCAGTAGTGATCTATGTTTCTTATGTAGTTACCTAGTTCTAAATTTGCATCCTCAAGGATTCTTTCTCAACAAGTTTTATTATTTCCCAAAAGCCAGCTGAGTTAGTTAACTGGTTCTTGCAACTGTAGAAGGGCTTGGAATTAAAAGCATGATAACATGAAATACTTACCAACTTTTCTAGTTTGAACTTGAGAGTTGCTTGCTTGAAAGAGACTGTTGCTGCATTCATTCCGTATGAACAGATCTTCTGGACTTGCTGCATCTCCTTGTTGTTGCAACTGCTCAAAATAAGAATTCTTTGAATAGAAAGTAAGAACAGAATTTTGCCTCTGGTAATTTCTTCTATTTATTTATTAACTGAGGGAATCTAGAATGTTTGCTTTCAAGCCTTTCTTTGTCTGTCAGGTGACTTCAGAAATCTGGTGAAGGTAAAGAGATTGGAGTGGTGCTCTAGTGTAGGTCTGGTTGTGAAACAGATGGAGCCTGGTGCTGCTTTCAGGGCAAAGGGCAAACACATTAAACAGAAGGGATTTTAAGAGTGAAGGGCGAAGCCTCCCACAACTGCATGAAGGATAAAATGTATGTGGTAGATGAAGATGGAAATCTCTCAAGGGAGCAGGGGAAGTGGTTAAAAGACTCACTTGTGTTCAGATGTTTTACTTTGTGTGTGGGGATGTTTGAAACCTGAGGAGTTGGCTCTACAGTAAGGAGAAAATGGTAGAAGTTGTAATAGAGTTGTTCTTGATTTAACCTTTTGCAGTGCTTTTGTGTAAAGGTGAGCGAAGTCACCTCACTCAGCTGGCTGCTGAAGCAGCGTGTTTGGTTGACCCCAGGATAACTCTTGATGTGGAGTTCCCCATCTTCAGGGTGAAACCATCTTTTTCTTTTTGATTTTGGTTGCTTTTTGATGACCGATGACTTTTTGAGGGGACATAAATGTTTTTCAAATACATATTTGCAGAAAAATGAATTGTTAAAATCAGGAGGAACAGTGGGGCAGAAGCCTTCATGCTTGAGGACTGAGTCTACAGCAAAGTTGGGAGTTCTACAGCTTTTCACTAGAGTACATTAGTGTCTTCATGCTAAATCCTATGCTCCTATGCTTTTGCTAAGTGCAGATCTGTAATCACTGACGAATTGATGGACCATATAATGCTGTCAGCCTGGCTTTCAGGTTGGAACCTGCACTCAAGCTTGGGAAAACGACCTGTGGGGATTATTATTATTATAAGGAAAACTGGAAGTTGAAAAGCTCTGTATTTGTAAATCTGCTCACAGATTCTGTTACTTTGATGGGTATGTTTTCAATAGGAGTATGCTTTTTTTTTGTTATTGTTGTTGCACTGCTTTAGAATAGAAATAATAGGAAAAAGCTGAGTAAAAAGACTGGTAAGTTTCACCACATAGAGTTAAAGGACTCTGGACAAAGTAGTTGAGTGCACTGATTTTTCTGAATACAAAAACAGAAAAAAAAGTGGCAGAAAAAAATAGAATATGGGAACAGAGGACATGCTTTAGCCTTTAGCAAGAACCTCATTGCTCTTATTCACTGAGGAGAGGCTATATAATGGAGCAAGATGCGGAGGGAAAAAATGGTAAAATATATGCTTGCAAAAGTAGGTATGTGGGATCCTCAAGCTGCCTTTGGTTACCAGCTATTACTATGGCATCAGGAATGTGACAGTGAGCTGTGGGATTTTTTTTCCTGAAACTGTGGATTAAACCTCCTCAGAGAGGACGTTCAGAATCTTTGGTGGGAGCAGAATGTAAAACACCATCTGCTGCACGGGCTGAGGCAATCTATGGAAGCAATTGAAAAAGTATAAAGGATGGTGGTGTTAAGGATGGGGAAGGGTTCTTTTAACTTTTTAAAGACACTGCATCTCTTCCTAATCAAGCAGCCATGATCCCTTGGGTTGTTGCCTCTAAAATACCAAATCATACTATTTTTATTCCAGCCTCATGTCAGCAGTACATACTTCATATTTCTACACTGCAGTCCCTGTGGAGGCAGGTTGCATTGTGGGGCTCAATAGCAGGCTTTTGATCTTAGCTGGATATGCTTCACTGTTGTTTCTTCTCCCTATGTATTCCTTCCCTTCAGTGACCTTCCCCTTTCCACAACAATTTAACAAAGACAATAAAACAGTCACAGTAGGAAAACTTGCTGTCTTCAGATGAGGAGACAAAGGGAAATTTCTGCTGCTCCTGCTTCCAGCAGTGTTTTAGCTTAAAGTGCAGTTTTTTTCCTCTGTTTTTGGAAGGTGTCAAGTAACCAAGTTGTTGTGGAGTGTGGAGCACTAGGCTCACAAGAGCAATGAATATTTTTGTTGGTTTTGGAACCATCAGGGTTATTTGTGAATCCTCACTAGGGAGCTTTTCTTAGGGGAGGAAGAGGGTATTTGGGAGCACAGAGTAAACTTGCTGTGTATGTGTTACATTAGCAAGAATAATTGAAGCTCAGATACTAGAGGTAAGAAAAGTGACATTCCTGAAGAGGGGACCTGGAAAACTCAAGTATTGTTCTGGATTGTTAAATGCCAGTTAAATGGAAAGTTCTAGCAAATATTTTTTTGCAAAACTTAAAAATTTACGACCAATACTTGGTGTCAGACAGAAAACTGCTGGAGCTGAAGTTCAAACAGAGCATAAACTCTGCCACGAAGGATGACACAGTAGTTTAAGAATGCTAAAACTGATAAATTACTCCTCCAGGGTACCATTTTCCACACACGTCCTTGTGGGACTAGGAAATAACACTGTCATTTGCACTATGCACTTTTGCTGTCTAACTGAATATAATCTGGAATAAGTGGATTGGCATTGTTGGCATTGCGTGTGTTAGCTGCAATCAATGGACAGAAGGTTTATCTTCAGCTGGACTTTTCACTGTATTACATTTGGCCCCTTGCTATGTAAGGAGAATTGCACTCATAATTACTGTGTACCAAAAGCAAGATCATCTGAGAGCACATGTAACAAGAAAATTCATGTAGTCACGCACACGTTGTCTTTGTAGAACTTCATTTTAAGATTATAAAACGAGAATACGTGAATTTTATATATTTTCAAGTTCTTTGCCAGTTGTTCAGTTCTTCATTTATGAAGTATTGACCTCGCTGTCTCTTCTAGGATAAGTTTGAAATTATTGTCTAACCACAGCCCCTCTCGAAAAGCAGTAAATGGTGTGCTTTGCAAAACCAGCAATAATTGGATAATGAAATCCCTCCACAGAAACTCAGTTTCACTTTTTATTTTTTAAGGGGGACTGAACTAAGAGCTTTGCATCTTTAGAGAGAGCATTAGATGCATCTTATGATCACAATAACAAATAGGGTACTAGTTAGTGTCATAAACTCTGCCTTTTGTCTGCAGCGTGCCACATACTATGGACTCGCTGTGCAGCAGATACAGCAGTATCAGATCAATTGAAGATTACTGAAACCCCACTAACACACTTGGATCAGTGTTACGATGAAAATAGAAGCCTGGTAGTTATGTTTTCCAACCTTGCATCCCCCTTATGACCTAAACTAACTATCTATATCTGTTTTCTGCCTTTTTTGGGTAAAGAGGGCTTGGAGCAGGGCTCATTGTTAGATGTCGGCAGGCCCAGGCTCCTGCTGTTGGCTTTATGGCAAAGTGCTCTGTTGTATCACGCTGAGCCTTGATTCCTGGCACAAGAGGGGTGTTTAGGAGAACGTCTCGCTGAGTTAGCAAATACCAGAACTTTTTATATTTATGTGTTCAAAATGCTGCTTGTATAGGATTTGTCACTTTTGTATTAAAAAAAAAAAAAAATCACAAAAAAAGTCATAAAACCCCACCATCCCATTACATAAGATTTCATTTGAACTACCTCTCAGCGTAAGATTCAAACATTAAGTTTAATAGGGTTTGCTCACTGTCACATTATGTAAAAGTTATAGTGAATGCCAAAATTGCAAAAGTTTATCACCAAAAAACAATTAAAAAAAAAAAAAAAAAGATGAAGTCTTTCTTTTTATGTGTTTGGAAGTATCCAGTAGTTTCAAGTTACTGTAAACTCTGTTGTATTATTTTAACTTCTGTAGTTTTCGTCTTGCAAACTCTAGCTGCTGGACAGGAGGCAAATCATAACCACAAGCTTTCATAATCACGGTCTGCTGAGTAAAAACAATTTTGTGTGCAGCATTGTTGTTTGGCTATGGATAGCCTCATTCACCAAATGTACCATTAATTGAGTATTTTTTTCTTCAGTACTTGAGATGTGAACTTGATGAATGGATGCGTGCCACAAACTGCATTGTCTTGTTTGCCTCTTTCCTGAGTTTTAATGATCAGTTTATTATTGCGGATGTGAATATCGCACACACAACTTACTTTCTGCATAATTGTGTAAAATATAAATGGAAAAAGGTTTAAGATCTTACGCAGTATTTAGAGGTAATGTATTATAACAGCCTTATGATGCAGTTTTACTTACAGAGTACTGCAGTTCTTTTAAACTGGATCATACCATCTTGGTAGGTGTAGATCAACTTTGCATGAGTGTGTTTGGGTTTTGTTTCCTTTTCATTGAAGTTTAATTCTTAAGTTCTATTTCAGTGTTTGTGTTTACTACTTGTGATCATGTAGTTGTGCCTTACATTGTGAAAGAATTTAGTCCAGCGTGCACTGTAATTCCTAAACTCTGCGGTTTGAAAGGTGGCTGTGGATTTGGATGAGAAAATGACACCATGCATCAACCAACCAGTTCTGTATAAACAATGATGAAATGTTATTGAAATGTAATTTTTTGTTTTCTAACCTGTTACAGGATTGATGAACGACAATAAAAGAAAAAATTAGACCTTTCTAATAGACCTTTCCATCATTTGCTTTAGACAGCAGTCTGCTTGGAAAAGGGGGATATATCATCGTATACATGAAGTGGTGGGAAGCCACACTTTTGAAAGCAAGCTAGACACTCCAATTTCTTAGACTTGTGAGAAACTGCAACAAAAACTTTCATGAGGAGACTGTAATCAACCTAAATTCAGAGTAGTTTTTTCTTTTCCCGGTAATTGCACAAGGCTTTTGTCAGTCAGACGTTGCTTTCAATGTGATCTGACAATTGATGTAACTGGAAGACTTAGCTGGGGTGCTTGTTCTAAGACTTCAGATTAAGGATGTGTTCAGCTGTTGGGCAAAAGCCACATGGAGAGCAGAAGAACCACCCAGGTGATCAGTATATGTACAATCAGTCCCATGATAAAGTGGCAACTGAGTTGTGTAAAATTCACAAATACTACAGTTAGAAACTGAAGCAGATCTTCCTAAGGTCTCTGCTTAGACAGTATAGAAAGTTTGAGAGAGTCTGAAAGACAGTTCAAGTTGGGAAGTTCATTTCTGCCCTGATTACTTTATGGGGGATCTTCAGACCATGTAAGAGCCCATTAAGTTTGTCTCTTTGAACACAGTTAGGGCGTGAGTACTGTCTTCCCCCAGCATGTCCTCCTTTGGAGGTGGGCTGACCTCTAGAAAATGATCTCCAGCACTGTTTTAGTTACCTGGTAAACTAAACAGACCTGTCTTAATGGCCTTTCTGGCTAAAAGTACACAAGAAGTGCAAAAACTCCCCCTCCGACAGCTCGCAAAGCATGGGGCTTTAGCTGACAGGCATGACTTTTCTGGGCTTAAAAATCTTTCTTTGGAAATATCACCGGTTGCAAGATACTGTGAGGTTCTGGGGAGGCAGCAGGGATGTGAGGGTGTGACTGGGTGCAGCTGAATATGGGATCAGTGGGGATTGAGCACAGCTGTTGAAGCCAAGCTGTGGCTAAGTGTTTGCAGCTTGGATGTCATCCTGGAGTAGATCTGCTGTGTTTGCTTAGTTTTGCTCTCCTGTCCTCCACATTTACCATTTGGTGTGAAGCTTGGATAGCTGCTCTTTTTTCATTAAGCTGTGACAGGAACTTCTATCATGAGCATGAAGGGAAGGAGCAGGAACACGTACTGCATCTGAACAATGGTGAACCAGGTAAGTCTGACAACCTCTGGTCTGGAATCTGTACGTATAGATGTGAACAAGCTCAGGTGGATGAAACAGGCCGCCACATGGGTGGAGCTGGATTAGGGGCAGTGACTGAGCTCATGACTTTCACGCGATGTCAGAGCAGAGATAAGGAGCTGATTTAACCATGAGTAATGCAAACAATTGGAAGAGCTCTCCTAAATTTTTCAGTCTGCTCCTCATCTGTGTAGTTTCCCTACTTAGCTCCCCCTGAAATCATTTTTGGAACTAGAAGTGTTCTTTAAGAGTTAACTTCCCTGCTTATGGTGATTATCTGGTTGGGCACGGCAAGTGGGAGATGTGGCAGACCATATAGAGCGGCTCTAGGGAGTCTGCCTTCTTAACTGGCTAATTTCAGGCACTTAGCCAAGAGAAGCTTGTTGAGAGCACCCTCAGTTGTAACCTGTGAATGTTTTGTGGCAAGCAGATGCAAACTGTTCTGTGGTTCTATTCATGTATCTCTTAAATAATAATAATAAAAAAAAGTGATTAGCAAGTGCGTACTTTATGGATCACAGAACTGCAGTCTGTATTGAATGGTTTAATGAGAAGCTCACATTTTTAAAGAGAAGTTGAAAAGCCTTTGGAGTTCGATTTTGCTGAGAGTAAATAATACATAATGACAAATCTGCTAATAATAACATTGTGAAAAAGTTTCAGGTAAAAAAAAAGTTCCCGTTATACGTAGAACATCACTGCATTTTTGTTCTCTCTTTTTATGTATTCTGTGGCTTCTGCAGTGTGCCTGGATGTTAGATGTAAGAATGACCTTTTCAAAGAAACAGGGCATTAAGCAGCCTCCTCACAAAAATTAATGGAGAATTAAGGCAGTATATGCTTTTACTGATCTGCTCCCACAGTGTCAATGTGCAGTGTTACAGAAGAAAGGCAGTAAGCATGGGAGCTATGGCTAGAGAGTTACCTACAATTTTAAATCTGTGAAATTTGTGAATACAGTTTGTATGAGCTCTAGACTTCTGGTGTATGAGTTCTCCTCACCGACGTAGGTGTTTTCCTTGTCCTGCTTTCTAGGAAAGGACAGGTCGTATTAATGCTTGCCTTGTTGGGAAGAGCCTTCCCCAAGCTGAAGCAAAAAGGCATCTGAGAGTGATGTATTTGTTCTGCGGCTCATTCTCCCCCTCCAATTTATTCCTACATCCTGTGATCAAAACTCATCACTTCTATTTAGTTGAGTCAGAAGCCTGTTAGTTTCAGAAAGTTAATGCACACTGGAAGAAAAAATGGTGCTATTACCACAGTAGTCGTCTGTTGCATCTGTCAGAGCTGTATTGGCAATATTAAATTTCAGAGAATTCAGCTGCTGAGCAGAGGAGTGTGCTTTTCTTGGTTTTGTCGCTTCATGTAATTGGAGATTGCTCTTTCTATCTGTGACATCCATGTTTTCTGTTACAAGAAAAATAATCTGTAAGCCTAGGCAATCTGAGAAATTCTAGTAGTTCAGAGAAATGAGCACGCATGAGCCTTCAGTTACATTTGCTGTTTTTCAGGCCCAGGCTTTTAATTTCTCAAGTAAGCACAAGTTACCCAGAGCCCAGCCTCCCAGTTGCTAAGGCCACAGCATATTACTATGTCCTGGGCCTGAGATGTCCAGTGAAGGTTTCCTTTTTGGTATGAAGATGGGATTTTTATGTTCTGCTTCTACATTTGCTGCTGGCTATTTCACCTCTTTTTGTTTAGTATTTATTTGTTTAATGCTGTCCCTACAGCTTGCACTCCCTGTTACGGTGGTTAAGACAGCTCCAGTGCTATCAACACCACAAATGGTTGACCTATCTGAGGTCTGTCTCATGTGAATTTCATTTTTCTGCACCATGCTGGCAGCATTCAGCTCTATATCCTGTTTACAAGGGTGGATATTGTTAGGACAAGGGGGAATGGTTTTAAACTGAGACGGGGAGGTTTAGGTTAGATATTAGGAGAACGTTTTTCACACAGAGGGTGGTGACACACAGGTTGCCCAAAAAGGTTGTGGATGCCCCATCCCTGGAGGCATTCAAGGCCGGGCTGGATGTGGCTCTAGGCAGCCTGGTCTGGTGGTTGGTGACCCTGCACATAGCAGGGGGGTTGAAAATATTTGATTATTGTGGTCCTTTTCAACTCAGGCCATTCTGTGACTCTATGATCCTCCATCATCCAGGTTCGAAGGCGGGGGATGATGGCTGCAGAGGGGTTTAAAATACTGAATTCCTCTCTGTGGTAGTTCATGTGGTCTGGGTCACAGAAACTGAGCTGTCTCAGAACTGTTGTGATCAAACATTGCAAATAGTTCAGCAGCATTACAAGCTGGAGGTCTGGCTGTGCATCTCCCACTGCAGGGGTTTTGTTTTGCTTAGTCAGTGGCTGCTCTTCCTGTTTTAATGTGCATTGAGTCACTGAACTTAGATGCAGGAATAGAAATGTGAGGAGAGGCAGCCTGCTATACTTCATGCTATGCTGGGATTCATAAATTTGGTTAGTGACCCTTCAGGTTGTTTCTATATGTGTGTATATCCTGAATGAGATAAATACGTAATTGAAAGATAAATGGCTGGGGGGTGGTTGCTTGGTCCTGCTGATACTGTTGGTGGGGATGAGATTGTGTACAGTATGTTCTGGTCTGCCAGGAGTGGTCTCTTAGGAGATTTCTACTATCAGCTTTTTGTGGCTGAGGGAGTGGGGACAAGGAAGAAGAGAGTAGAAGGCAGGGCTGCTGCACAGATGGGCTGAGTGAGCAGTGCTTCAGTTCTGTGTTTTCTTATATCTGCCAAGTACTGTGGGTCTGAGAGGGAGGTGGGGTAAGGTGTTCACCACATCTCTGTACATACTTGGCAAAAACCTGGAGCATGCTTCCCATGCAGTTGATGCAGATTCATGCTGCAATGAGGGGTGCATGTTGGGCTGGAGGGCCTGGTCCTGGTCAGGGGAGCTGGTGGCCCGAGCAGGCCCACATCAGCATCAGGGATCCACAAGGTAGTCTGCAGTGCAGCTGTCCTCTGCTTGGGGTGAATCAATGGGAGTGTTGCACTTTTGGCACCATTCAGTGTGCAATCCCTTGTGACATGACTTATCTATCTCAAACTCTTGGTCTGATGGCCCTCACAAGATGGTCTTAGCAAGATCGTTGTCCTTTCTCCTTGCAGACTGTAACAGCCAAAGCCATGAGGACATCTCGACTAGCTAAGTTGTTTTAAAAAAGTAAGTTGTGTTGAGATTAGGTTTAGGAGCTGAAATACAGTAGTTCATTCAAAACAGCGTTGGATAGTGTATACCTTTCCTGGGGATCAGAGAGACTACATTAAGCAAGATGCTACAATATTACTGAATTCATGTGGAAGGAGCCTTTTGGTACTGGATTTTCTGGGTAGTAAAATAAAACTGGAAGACACTGATAAGGTGGTTGCAACCTGACATGAAGGCAGCTTGGAAATATCACTTCTGTTCAGTAACAGGTAACTACTTCTTGAGGACATGCCTATTCCAAGTATGAACCAGTGGCTTGGAGATAGAAAGAGTTCACTCACTGCTTTTCCCTGAAAACAACTCTCTACTGCAATTTATATGGAAAATCACTATCACTCATAGTTGCATTTTAATGTAGGTATTAGAGAATGAATTTTAAATGACGGGGCAAAAACCAGCTGAACAAAAAAGAGCCAAACCCCAGGTTTGCAAGGTTCTTACCAGAATTTCAGATGTTGTAAACAGCGCTGCTACTAGAAATGTGATGTGTGAAGATGAGGCTAAATTTATGTAACACTAGAATGAATCATACTGTCTGCTCAGTCTGAAATTGCAGGAGTGTGCTATGTGTACATGAGCATAATACAGGTTTCTGATTTGGGTACTTACAGATATGTTATGCATGGAGTGGCAATTGTTTTAGCAATCAGAAATGATGTTTTTCAGACAGCTAAGACCTGCTATCAACCCTGATCTTAAAAAAACACAAAACGCAAACAACCAAAAATAAACAACTAAACCAATAAAACTGATACGTGTTCAGTAAAAATTCTGTAGCAAATAATGTGTGACCCAGCAAACCATTTTTTGGTTTGTTTGTTTGTTTTGGTCAAATGTCACAGCTGTGATCCTCCTCTAGGGAAAGTGTAGTTGTGTAATTACAGAGGAGAAAAGATGAGCTACTTACCTTGGCAGACTCTGTTTGTGCTTGTAGCAGGAAGACTGCTATGCACTGCCCATACCTATTTTCATGCTGTATTAGGAAAGCATTTTGCAGGCTGAAAACTGGGGGGAAAAAAGTGAAGAAATGATACAAATTCCCTCATGCAGCTGTCACCCCAGATTTATATCACACTGTCTGGTGATGACTGAAGACGTGATGTATGTGGCCATCTTTTATGATTCTTAATAGGACAGTGCACCCTTGCGGGGTTAATTTTTTGTTGTGTGGGAAGCTTTGCTAATTCAGAAAGATAATTCTACTTGTACTCAGTTTCAATTACTTAATCATCGTGCAGCTAAGTTGCTTTTGAGTCAGGCTGAAGGTCATTAAAAGAAACTTCCATTCAAGTGGACTAAATTGTAACTGATGTTAGAGAAGAATAAGCATCAAACAAAAGGAGAATAACTTCCAAGTCAGAATGCATGTTACTGGTTTCAGAGGCTGATTCCTACTATAACACATCTGAAATTGCATCTCTTGAGCAAGGTCCTGGCATTCACAGAGAGCACGACTGCAGTGCTGTGCCTCTTGTCTGTTCACTGTGATGTGGCAGGCTTTGGGCTAGTATTATCCTGCCTGCTGCCAAATGTGCGTCTCTACAATATTGCAATATGCATATATATTTCTAATCCCTGTATTGAGGGATGTTTCTTTCCAAAATATGATCAACCTTCAGCAAGCTAATGTACATAGATAAAAAATCTGAGTTTTGATTTTGATTGCTGCAGGGGCTCACTACAATCCCACACTGCCCTGCTCAAGTAGCTTCATGAGAATATGCTAACTGACTTTTTACTTCTACCATGACCTCACTCCCTGAGATGCAAATAAACTGGTAGTATTACCCAAGGTCACACATTTCTGAGAATATCTAATCCTTTCTTTTTTATTATTATTATTATTTTTTTCCCCAGAAAGGAACATTTTCCATTGGTGCTGGCAGTTCTGCTTATTGCTTTATGCGAAATGGTGAAAATTTGAACTGCAGGCTTCCTATAGTCATTTTAATCCCTATTTTTATTGTATTCCACTCCAGTGGGTGCGGTATTTGGATGAGGTTTCCAGGACATTGCAAAATGTAAGTAAGCAATGGAGGCTACTCTCTCTAAATTTTGTAATGATATTGATAGGAATATGTTGTGAAGAAGTCCAGCCATTTGGTGCAGAGTGTGGGAAAGGGCTGTAGAGAGGGGATGGATCCTGGACTGGTCTTCAGCAGTTGACTTCATCTACTGCCTGTGACTGTGTCACAGGGACTCTGGTTAGAACATAGCAAATGCTGGCTCGAAAAAAAACAAAATTATTATTCCCATTAGCACTGTGGCTTTTATGCCCAGTGTTGTATGTGCAAACTGGGGGGCTGCTGCCCTGTTCTCCCCAGCAGCCCAGAGCTGCTTCCCTGTTGGCTTGATTTATGCTGCGTTGGTTGGGAGGTTTGTCAGGCAGGCAGACAGCGTCTGGAGCACGGTTAAACAAAGGTTATTCTCCTCTGTGCTCATCTGCTTACCTCATATTTAGTCATTTGCCTTTTATTGCCTACCTCTATTTCCTATCAGCATTGATACTGAATGCTAATTACTCTGGGTGAATGTGTTTCAAGGTTATCATAAATTTTACATGCTCTGGGTTTATTTTCCACATTTATTGATTTTCCACAGACTGCTCTAGCTTCCTGAGCTTTTCCTCCTAGTCCTTGGGATTAGGATGGCTGTCAGGCTCTGAAGCCTGGAGATTTGTATTCCTTATTTCTCTTCGATATATGAGGAGACTCGTATATTTGGCAGCATTAGACTGAGCTGTGTAAGCTTGTGGAGGTAGTTCAGATTAAAGAGAAGTCCGGATTGTTTTCATGCCTGCTCCCCCAATCAACCTTGGATTTGGGAAACTGTCTTAGTTAACATCCACCTTTACAAGTCACTCTCTGTGAAGGCTGGTCCTCCTCCCCGTTGCACCGAAAGGCACACCAGACATTACTGGAAGTAGTTTCCTATGGTGGTGCATCTTCAGGTCTAGAAGAAGGGAAGTGTTGGCTTAGGAAGGATGATTTCCATTTGTGGTAAGAAAACAGTTGGCTCATGACAGAACTCAATGGAGTCTTTATGCCACGTGTGGGGTGAATGGAGCATACTTGAAAGTCACCCATGTGCATGTGGAAGTTCCTGTTTCAGGCAGGGGAATACGGGCTGCAATGTGGGTGTCTGAAGGTCATGGTAAGCATGAAGCCAACTACTGCTGAGGCTTTTGTACTCCATGCAGCTGGGGGTGGTTTGTGAGCAAATTATCCTTAAACCACTCCATACATCATGCATGGAGAAAGCTTTTTTGAAAACATCCAGATGCACCCAGGGGTGTACCTGTTACATGGATGGGATCAACGTTTTTCAGTATTAATCTGTCCAGTGGGATGGGTTGGTCCAAGACTTGGCAAAACCCACCTTCTCTTACAACCGACTGCAGCTCCGGAGCAAGGGAAGGACAGACAAGGGTTAAGCCTGTGTCTGAGCCCCCGTATTTCTGAGAATAGAAAATGAAGTTGATTAGTATGCTGTCTGCCATCTGCTCATGAAGTACAGGCAATAAACAGCCCTAAATTATGTGCTCTGTCTTATCAAAGGTGTTCAGAGGTTTATTTGCCAGAGCAACATCAGAAACTATTTCTCTGAAAAACTCATCAGTACCTGGAACTCTCTTGTCAAGGTCACACCTTGTATTGAAATGACACAACAGAAACACAATAAAGATCCTCAGGCAGAAAACAAAGATGTTCTAAGATCTTCTTCCACCTATCCTTTCAATATTAGGAGATTTTCTCAGTTTCTTGGAGATACATTTCCCTGTCTCCCCTCATGAGCATGCAGAATACAGAATTGTTGGGTCTCCAGATGGGTAACAACCTCACTCAGATCGTTCACCAATACGTACACAGGCAAACCCTCAGTGAGATTTGCCAGCAGGCACCAAGCCCCTTGAATCCCTGTTCCCTTCATCCCTCTCCATGCTGTAGGATGGTGTTGTGCAATGAATGATTCTAGAGCAACATCTTCTGTATGTCCTATAAAAGCAGAGCAACTGCTTCTAATATTTTAATATCTCTAAATTCAACCTAAGCTTATTGATATTTAGTACAGGTCTGCTTAGGCTTAATTTATATCAGCTTTGTAAACTTAACTAGCTAGATACTTTTCTGCATACTTGTATTTCTGGGTTGGTCTGAATCATAAGAGGATCATTATAAAACTTATATTCTTGAAACTTCTGAGCTCAAGAAATCCAGCATATAAGAACAGCATCAGGAAAATGTTATGGCCTAGTAATGCAAGTTCTGCCCGTAGCTCTCCTGTAACACGCTGAATCTAGAAACAGGGTTCATTCATTTATCCAGATGAAAAACATTGTAACAACTGCAATCACATACCTCTCAATCCATTATTACCTTTTTGTTACGTTTAATTTTGGTGATTAATAGGAAATCATCAAATAGAAAGAGGTAGACATCAAGAAGTCTTGTGCTTTCTGAGGAAAAAAGAAAAGTCAATGTGATGGCATGATTATTTTAAGGAACTGCTGTTTCTACATTGAGGCATATCTAGGAATCGCTGCATCTTATAGAACACTTAGCAAAGAAACATGGTTTCCAATACAGTACACAGCTACTAGTCTCCTAGCCTGCACTCTCAAACTTGAATGTGTTATTCTTTTTCATGACTTTGGCTATTTCTTTTTGTAGTAGCTACTTTGTTATGCAGAAACAACTGCCTGCCCATAGAAGTGATGTGGATCACCCGCAGTGCCTCTGAATGCAACAGCTGGCATGCTACAAATTAGCAAATCCTATGTGGTAAATAAGTAACCTTCTGAAAATGTCAGATAAGGAAGCAGTGGAATGCCACTCTTTTCTGCTACCTATAAACACCTGTCTGCAGCCTTCTGCACAAACTACCATCTTGTTGAAATCTTAGTTGATGGTGTCACAAAGGCCTTTCGAAAGCTACACAAAAGAGAGTTGGCTTCCCTTTTCTTCCTTGTTTGGAAGGTCATGAGGATGTGAGACATACAATAGGAGTCTGTGAGAACGCTTTGAAGTCTTGAAGTTGTATCTCCATGCCTTGGCGAAAATTCCATTGTTATTGCTATAGAAATAATAGGGAATAATTTAATGGAAGCAAGAGCAACTTTTTAAGCAACTTCTTCTGGGAAATCTGGCCTTTAGAGTCTCCAGAAAGCTCTCTATGTGACTGAATTTGCAGAGTTGTGTCCTTTGATCTTTTTCTTGTTTACAACTCCTCCTTATTCCTTTATGTCTGCTTGTCTTTCATTTTCCTGTTTTGCCACAACTTGCTCTGCTACTCAACCTCCAAACTCACTCTCTATGTGTGCTGCAGGCTTTATTCTTTATCAGTTCTTTATCTAGTCTGTAAACTGGTAGAGCCTCTGGGGGCATGAAAAGCCCAGCTACTCTTCACTGCAAATAGGGATGCTCAGAGCTACTGCTTCCAGGCAATTTGCAGGATGATAAAATACTTTCTTGGATGCTTTGTTCTGAAATGCTTTGTCTTGAAAACCCATTTCATTAAGATTGTACAAAACATTTTCAGTAACTACTGAAAAGGAAATGCCATGAGGATCCTCTTATGTGCCAGTGGGGATTCAGAAGACAATAAGCTGGGCTGTTGATGTGTATTTAAAAATACAGTTGTGTAAGTTTCTATGAAGTCAAAAACTTGATAGGATGTTTTCCACAGCTTCTCTCATACAGCGTATGGCTTTTGTGGGCATTACACAGGAAAAAAATTATTTGTTGCAAACCCTACCACTGTTCTCTCAACCTCTTCTGGTATCTCATAAATTTATCACATCTTTTGCATGTCTGAAATTAGGTTTTATTAATTAATCTCTTTACCTTGTGGCTAAGTTCAGCAGAATTTCAAAGAAACTTAACCAAAAAACAAGCCCTAAGCAAAATGAGGAGGATAGTAACTTGTCTTCATTTTCTTGAAATAATATATATATATATTTATTTAGAAGGTGAATAACTGATAGCATTCTCAAAGATTTTCCATGATGAATTTCATATTTGTTGGCCACTTGAATTCTTATATTCTTCCTGGGCATTTCATTCTCCAATTTAAAAACTTGTTTTCATAGACTTTCCATGACTTTCACACAGTAACACGACAGCCTGATATTGATCTTTGACTGTTCTTTCTCTTGACTCCCAGTCCCCCTAACCATCCATTTTCGATTGTGCTATTTTTAAATAGAAGCTGACAGCAGGAATATTTGCTCCTTGAAAATTCTGACGAAGAACCTGCATTTCTTGAAATAGAAACTTTCTAGCATTTCCTTCTGGATTCTAAGATTGCCAGAAAACATAAAACTGCGTTGTCGGTGGTTGCAGTTTCATTCAAAGAAGTGCAATTCACTTTAACAGCAGATAAGTTTGAATCAGGGGTGTGACATTAGGATGTGCTTCTTTCTTTGTGCAGCATTACATTTCAGTTGCGTCTTGAAAGATACTTCATCCAGACAGATGGACAGGTACTGGACACTTCGATACTGCAGCTTGCAGGCAGCTGGCTGTCTTGGTGGGTAAGAGTTATGCTCATGCCTTCTCCATTTTCTGATTACATATTGCAAAAAGAAATGTGGCTGCCTGATGTCCACCCTTACCTCACTGCGTTGTGTGCTGGTGCCTTGTCAAGAGGGCAATGAGTGCAGGGAGAATGCTGGCAGAAGTGTCTTTCTTCCTCCTCTGCCCACCACCCCATACACAGCAGCAGCAGCCTTTCCCTCTGCTTCCCGTGTCCCTGGTGCTGTGCCTTCTCCTCTGCCACTGCAATCCTCCTCATGTGGGAAGAAAACTAAAACCACTGAAAAATGGGCTCTGTCCCTTCACTGTTCCTTTTATGAAACTAATAGTAATGGTGGGGGACAGGAAGAATTGGGACCTCCCTCTCTGTCCCTCTGCTTTTGTCGAGGTGGAGAAGGAGTTGTAAGGCAGTGGCTGGGCCAACTTCTGCTGCAGCCACCTTTGCATGCTGCTTCCACTTTTCAGATGCTGCTCTTCCCCGAGTGATCCAACCACTCAGGCTCTTCATGCTGTTCGTGCAAAGAGGAAATGCTCCACTCATTTGCAGGCAGCTGCTCCCCAATAAGCATCCTCTGCCCTGCTACAAAATGGTGCCTCTGAGTCTGGAGATGAAACTCTCAGCTATGCCAGGGTGGTAGATGGCTGTGAGCACACTGATGTGGGACTGCTGTGCTCCGTGTGGTGTTAGTGGCAGGCATGGTGGTGAGTGTGTTGTTGATGGAAGGGAAGCTGCTCAGCTTGCCATTGTTTAAATATTACCTTCTTGTTCCAAGCTTTGCATCAAAACAGCAGTCTTAGCAGAGATGAAGTGCAAAATGAAAAAGGAAAAATCTCTGGATTTTTCGTTTTAAGTATAATATGCAGCACAGTGCCAGAGGTGAGGCTTCCTGATATCAGTTTCCAGGCATGTGGGGCACTTTACGTAGGACACTCTAAACTTCCCAATGTCCTTTTGCCACATCCTTGAACCTGTCAGTGTAACTCTCCCTCTGAGTGACAGGCACATGAGAGTCAGTCCGATTTTCTGAGCACCTGGCAGATTGAATGTCCAGATGTGCTGATAAGCAATCATGAGCATTACTCATCCCTTTGGCAGTCTGGCTATTTCTCAGGCTCTCTCTGACAAGATGTTTGCTGCTTTTTTCCTGCAGCTGCCCATACTATCTTAAAATTCATTCTGGACTGCCATAACAAAGTATAATTTCGCTAAGCCAATTCCTAGTACCAGGACATAGGGATGTTACCTGCCAGTGTCAGCCTCCCATCGTGAAGAAGTCTGCTTGCTGAAGACAAAACGTTTTCACCGCTGTTCTCTCTCAAGCTTTGTTTCAAACACACCGAAAAGAGAGAGACAGTGAGAGAATGGGGAATCTCACATATCCAATTACAAACTGGAGGCATCCAGCAGTTAAATGGAGACCGTGTATACTGATGTATCAGTCTAAATACACCACAGCACTAATAATTGAACATGACTGAGTTTCTTCAGCAATGCTATTGCTTAAATGTGTTTAAGCTTCTGAAATGTTAAGCTGGGTTTTTCTTTTCCAGAGTAAATGTAATGGTTTTTTCAGCTCTGTGCATGAATGGACATAATCCTTGAGGTGAGACTTGCCTGATGACATTACCATAAAGCTGTTTAAAGTCTGTCTGGGTAGGGAGCAACCCCAAAAGAAAGGTGTATGTATTCTCAGGGATGCTGCGTAACTTTAAATGATATTTGAATAAGAAATAGGAAATCGGCTTACCACGAAGAGTGGAAGAAGCAAATATTTCCTATTTGTTCTGCTGCTTAAAATGAATGTATTAATGGTTATATCTATCTCATTTCATTCTGCCCCCTAAAAGCAAACAGTGGAGAGTCCTCCTGGCTCATCCCATCATACTGTCTGGGATGTTAGCAGAGAGCAATTCATGCTGCCATCCAGGGGACTGCGTGTAGCCTAACTGTTCACCTACAGCATTTGTGTGCTCAGGCTGTGGCTGCTCCTATGAGGGCAAAGCCCACCACAGCAAACAGAATACAGACAATCAGTTGGCTTTAGACTGCATTACAAATTGGAAACTAAGCCTTCCGCAGGCTTCCCCAAGGAAAAACGCCCTTAAAAATTCTGCTTACCCCTGGGACAAAGAATCTCTTGTCACGATCCCAGACTTCAGGCCAAATTATGACCTCATGGAGCTGCCTGAATTTCTGAAAGTTGTCCAACCACTTGACTTTACCTTCCAGATCCCCTAAAATATGTAAAGCATCAGTTACTGCCAAGGCTGGCAAAAAATAGGCTGCTTTCTTGAAGGTGATGAATACTGATTATCTCTAGTAGAAGCCAAAGGATGGAGTCCTGGCCTCACTGGGGACAATGACTAAACTCTTCTTAGGTCAGCAAAGTATCAAACTATGCATTCAAAGAGGCCTAAATTCACTGCTGAATGCAAAAGTTCTACCCATTTATCTGACTTAGCAAGTGAGGGATTTGTATAAAACTCATTTAAATGATTGCCTTAAAAAGTTCTTGAAAAAGTTCTGCCTTTCTGAACTGTCAGAGGCGGTGAGAGGAAAATAATTTTCATTATGTACAGTCTGATCAAAAGGCTGTTGAAAATAATGAGAACCTTTTAAGGAGAAGTAGTGCCAGAAGTGGCTGAAGAATATAAATGGAACGAGGGTGTCTCAATAAGTGAAAAATGGAGATTTCAGTCTTTGCTGATTGAGGGCCATTGCAGGGGAAACCTGCAGTTTAACTTCAAAATTTTCACATTGAATGATGTTGCAAAGAGTTGTTTCAGATAATGCACGTATACACCAGAAAAGGAATTCTGGAACTGATGCTATTCCTTATGTCACTGGCTTACTTGTCAACAAATTATGGCAAACGTCTGTCAGATCTGCGAATAAAGAGGCTGACAGCTCCTGTCTTTGGTTTCCTTACCTTAGAGATAAACTTAGGCCTAATGTAACCAAATCCTAAACACTGGAAAGATCTTTGTTGTTGTTCCCTAGATGATGTTGTGGGCCCATATCCACATCTCCTTTCTCCCAGCAGAGCTCCACCATTTAGTGACAAAAAACCACTGTATCTTTCTGGAGCAGAGTCTGGAAAAGACCTGTCTGTTTTCTTCTACAACCTCAGCAAGAACAGGGATGAGCCCAAAGATCAGCAGTGGAGGTCGTGCTGACAGCCCCTGCTGGAGACACATGCTGCACCCTGGCTGCGTACCTACTGAATTGGCAAATTTCTTAGAGTAGAATCCAGAGGAAAATAAACAAAAAGAAACAAAAAGCTTCTTGGACCAATCCCTTCTTTTTCTATAACAACTAGGGAAAAGCTGTAGCTCTGATGGCTCATCTGCTGCTTTTCGTGGTAGGACCCTGTCATTTAGCGAAAGGTCATTGGCACAATATTCCCCTTGTGAGCGGTATTTTATCCTATTAAGGATTAGCCCCAACAAATCCTCTTCAGACATAAATCCAACTCAAAGACTTCTTTGTTTGGGGTTTTTCTTTATTTGTTCCAATTTGTGATCTGCTCTTAATTGTTTCCATGTCGCTGCAGATGACTCTGAGCCAAAACAAGTGAGTCACTGATGTGGGAGTCCTGTGACCTTGCTCAGAGGGCCCATGGGTGGCACCAATCTTTTCCTACAGAATGAGGAAGGACTCAAGATTGTTGAAAGGCATGCACATTCTCCCTCCATTTCTGTGGGGAGACCAGCTTCGAGCACAAAACCATCACATAACTTAATAATTGTTAGTTGAATATTTTTGACTTAACCATAGCTACTTACGTATGGACTTTTCCACTTTCTCTTTAAGTGACCAGATAGAATCTTTCTCTGTTTCGTCCGTGCTCCTCTTCCAGATGTTGTTCAGGAGGAGGGGATAGCGGGTCAGGCGGTGCAGAGGAGCCACCAGCAGCTCCGTCAGGTGCAGCCTTCTGCACTGCTCCTTCTGTTCACACCACTGCTGGAGACAAAGGACACCTCTCTTAGGCCTCTGCTCTCTGGCAATGAGGTTGTATGCATCTTTCTGCATCATCAGCTGTAATGAGTTGGGCTAATTGAAGACAAATTTCTTACTGCGGGTAAGGCTGATGTAAAGGCTGTAGCTACCATGTATGCATTGCTGCTTTCAGGCAGAGACAGAACTTGCTCTATTGTTTTTACTCTTTATAAACACTGTCTCTGCAGTGGTTGCTTGCTCTACCATTCAGGGTGCTGCTTCCTCTCTGAGGGAGTAAGGATTAATGGATTCTCTTGTGTAAGCAAAGCAGACCAGCCTTCTTGCCACAGCCTGGCCAAAACCCATCCTGCTCTTTCACTGCAGGCTCTCAAGCCCTGTGAATGCACTGATGTGCTCCTGGCTTTCTGGCTCCTCTTTTTTTGCCTTGCATTATGTATTCCTTCCCTTATGGAGAAGGAAGTCATGATACTCTTCTCTAGCTGTGAGGTCGGTGTACATCGAGGGAGGGAAGATTTAGGTTGGATGTCAGGGGGAAGTTCTTTACTGTGAGAGTGGTGAGGTGCTGGAACAGGCTGCCCAGAGAGGTTGTGGATGCCCTGTCCCTGGAGGTGTTTAAGGCCAGGTTGGATGAGGCCCTGGGCAGCCTGGTCTAGTATTGAAAAGGGAAGTTGGTGGCCCTGCATGTCGCAGGGGGGTTGGAGCTTCATGATCCTTGAGGTCCCTTCCAACCCTGGCCATTCTGTGATCCTGTGATCACTGCTGATGTGAGGAAGGCCAGGCCATCTGTGGGTGACAGGTGTGATGACAGTGTTACCAATTTCCATGAATCATCCTCAGCCCTGACCCTCCCAGCCCATCTCTATGACTCTTTGCTTGTGTGTGTGATGCCACTAAACACAATGCTCCTGAGATCCTTCAGCCCCTCACTGAGTTATGGGCTTACTTGGTTTAAACGTAGGTCAGTGTGTCAAGGGATTATGTGTGGAACACATGAATGCTTAAGACTGACAGTACATATTGTCTGCCTGTAAAAATGCAGCTTTTTTTTTTTTTTTTTGCCTGTGGGCTTTTTCCTATTCTTGCCCATTCTATATTGCAAATATGGACTAAGGGAAAATTGTACTCTGAAGGATGACTTCATATCTATGATTATTCACTGCAGTTCAGGTATTTACATAAAATGCTGTCTACACAGTTCTGCTTCCAGTGAACTATTCTGGTTTGCTGATAAAATCCTGTCAAAAGACAGGAAGGCTGGAGATAACAAGAACAAAACCATTACTTTACCTTCAGGTAGATGCCAAAATCTTCTCTCTGTCTCAGCTTTTCCAAGTAGAAGACAGCGGTGGTATAATTGAGGCAATAAATCTGGTGTGTCTGGCAGAGGTCACCCTGGAAAAACTGCAGAAGAGGCTTGAAAGCTTGTCAAGAAAGGAAAATGTGATGACAAAAGGAGGAACAATGCTTTTAGTTTTGTAATGTGGCTTTCACCTGAGATTACTTTGTACCTAGGGAGAGAGTGGAAGAGGGAGAATTTAAAAGCGTGGAGGGTGACTTAAACAGTACTAAAATTGGTACAATACTAAAAAAGAAAGGTGGGGAGGGGTTCAAACATTGAATGGGAGCCCAGTTCTAGCAGCTCTGCAGAGGAGAAGTGGTTGTAGACTTTGTTCAAATTAAAAATAAACAATGTGAAACTGATGTGGAAGCTGAAGATTGAAAACACTGCCTGAGCAAGAGATTTATGTGGCCTCACATAATATACCACTTTATTTCCAAGTATGTTAGCTCTTAGAAATACTGAATGACATCAGTGATAAAACTCATTTTTTCTCAGATTGGAGCACTTGAAGTCAGAGAAAATGGGAGTAAGAAGCCCAGCTCTAGACTCTCTTTGCCTTTTTGAAACCCTAAGCATGAGGTAGGGTCTTTCCCAGAAGTTTTCTATTGGTCTCTACTGCTATAGGAAGTTCAAGTTTGGCTATCACAGTGGTAAACTTGATGATTTCCTGTCTGCATTAATATTACCTGCTGTTTGGCCATAAGGATGTTGTGCAGGAAATAAAATGCTTGTGGGAGAACCCCTGAACATTGTTCTCACTCTCTTGCCTATCACATTGATGACCTGAATGTCTGGCAGCAGCAAGATAGCTGGGTCTGTTCCTGCCTCTCACTTAGCAGACACAGGCCAAAGTGCATATGTATTTCATTGAGCTCACTTAAATACGTTTATGGATCTGGTATGTGGAGTAAAGGAAGGATCTAGATGACAGACTGGAAGGAGGCAGGGTACAGCTGGAGTCTGGGCCAGTGTCTGGCTTTAGGGAAACCTCCCCCACAGGGGGAGAAGCTTGGTTCTGTTGGTGACAAAGCCTCTTCAAGGTCTGGGCCGCGGTTTCCAAGGAAGGGAATATCTTTCCATGCTTTGTTCCATGTACAGAGCAACTTTCCATGACCACCTCAAACATGTCAATGAATAAAAATGTCCTACTGGTGGGAGGTACTTGAGGCTAAGACCAAACTGCCTGTGACAGCTGGCATGTCCTTGACTGGCTTGACTGCTTTAAGGCACCTTCATACTCTTATAAATCACCTGTTGCAAGGACCTACTGAAATTAAACAAGAGTATTTCTAATTATGTTACCTTTCTGAGCATGGAGATGAAGTTCGTAGGTGATCCTGACTCAGTGACATGTTCCTTCACAGTTTCAAAAAAATTTTCCACAAAGCTGAGGCTTATCTAAGTAATGGGGAGAAAAAGAGAAATTAGCATGACTGAACTTCCTAAGTTTAAAATAACATTTTTTCTCATTCCTGACCTCTTCAGAGTCTTCAGGCCTAACACTTATCTCCATGACATTGCCAGGATTATCTTTAGAAAATTACATCAAGTGCTTTAATTAGTCAGAAGATAAAATAAGTCTATACAAATACCCAGTTACATCATAGAATCATAGAATGACTCAGGTTGGAAAAGACCTTAAGGATCATCAAGTCCAACCATGACCTAACCATACTACCCTAACTAACAACCCTCTGCTAAATTATGTCCCTGAGCACCACATCCAAATGGTTTTTAAACACATTCAGGGTTGGTGACTCATCCACCTCCCTGGGAGCCCATTCCAGTGCTTAACCACCTTTTCTGTAAAGAAGTTTTTCCTGATATCGAACCTAAACCTCCTCTGGTGTAATGTGAGGCCATTTCCCCTCATCCTGTCACCTGTCACCAGTGAGAAGAGACCAACCCTGCTCTTGCTGTAAGCACCTTTCAGATATTGGAAGAGAGCAATAAGGTCTCCCCTCAGTCTCCTTTTCCCCAGACTAAACAGCCCCAGTTCCTTCAGTTTCTCCTTTTAGGGCATATTCTCCAAACCCTTCACAAGCCTTGTTGCCCTTCTTTAGACCTGCTCCGACACCTCAATGTCCTTTCTGTACTGAGGTGCCCAAAACTGAACACAGTACTCATGATGATACCACGTGACAAAAGCTTTGAAACAGGATTATGATTATTCCGTTAAAAATTATTTTATGGTAACAGCTGTATGGACATGAATCAACATGGAGAATCACAATAGATGAATGATATCTACTAGAAAACATTATGTGTGACGGCTGTGACAACTGAAGCCTTCACACGCATTTGAAGAAGAAATCATGTTTCATAGTTTGAGTTTGTTTTGTGCTCTAGGAGATCAGGGAAAATTCTGTAAAATACTTTAAAATGTAGAAACTCTATTTGAAAGCCCCATATGCCCTGCAGGTTTTCCAAAGGTGCCTACACTGTCAGTCAGATGTGGGTGAAAGCTTCTTCCTAAACTCTATGTGCCTCTCAAAGTGTTTCTTCCCAAATTCACAACCAGGCTGAGCTTTGGGCCAAAGATTTGTTCAGTCATAAGGAAACAATTGTATGCGTTCAGCACATTGTCAGAGGCTCAAACTCTGTGTTCCCCATAGTTAGAACATACAGCAGTCCTGGCCAGATAAGGGCCATCACATATGTTTGAAGGCTTTGCCAGGTCTTTATCAACTTTGTCATTTTCTCCAGGCATAGTTCTGAAAAACTTTCTTATGTCATTGTATTACCTAATATTTCCCTGTGATCAGAATAGAACATCACCACCCTCTGTGATACTGCTGTGAAGTGCTGTTGTAGCTGCATGCATTGCCTTGTTTGGGAGCATGGCTGCTTATGGGACAATGTGTCTTTCATTTTATTGAGGGCTCACTTTGTACCTTTTATAGCTTGCATTCTTTCATAGATTCAGCCTACTGTCAAGAAAAAATGCACGCAGTAAAGTGCATGAAAAAAAGCTCTGGGAGTAGTTAGTTTTTTTCTACGTTTGCCCACTCTTATTTAAACAAATATGCACAGTAAACGATACTTTCTTGTTAATAATGAAAACAAAATGTGAAAAAAAAAGTTTATTAAAGATCATTTTCTCAAGTCACAATGAAGCTCCAACCAAACTCAAAGTATTATTTGTTTCCTAAATCACATGCAACAATAGACATCATTTCCTTCTTTAAGAATGAGAAGGATCAAAAATGACACATCAACTGAGTTCTAGTAGCTAGATGATTTTTATGATCTTAGCTCACAACAAGCACAAGGTTAAACCCATCAAATAAAATCTCTTTTCTTGTATTTCCAAACATGTTCACCTTGTGAGTGGTCAACTACTGAGAAAAGATGTGCTCATGTGTTTGAGCTCTGGTTAATTGTCTCCACTCTGAAAAGCTTTTCTGCTCTTCTTGTTTTGCAGAAAAAAAAAAAGTGAGATGTTAATGGTTAAAGCAAGGGCATAACAACAAGTGGCAGACCTTAAAGTAGGAAATTTATTTAGGATGTGTGATACAGTTGGTTAATTGTGAGAATGATTGACCAAAGCCATTCAACTTATGAAGCTGAAGAGCCCCTTCCAACATTCACTTTGCTATTAAGGGTAGTATGTTTGTTGGGTTTTCTTTTGTAGTTCCTTAAAGTAACTCTAAAGTCAAGGAAAACTTCTGCGTGACTTCTAAAGTTACGTAAAAACTATTCTGGATTTATGGGCTGCTTTAACTTTCAGGAGCTGGAAATGACCTCCCAGCAAATGGCCACAAGTAGCAAAGAGCCAGAGCACATTGCAGCCAAGCCTCATCTTCCCAGTCCTCCTGGAAGCTTAGGGGTGAGTAGCACATGGATGCAGGGCATTAGCTCTGTGCTGGAAATAGTCCTCCATCCACACAGGGGAAACCTTGGCTGCAGTGGGGTGGTTGTTATTTTGTTTTTCCTTGCTCTATCAGAAAGGCTTAATAGATATCAAAGTCCATTTATTAGAGAAGGGAAGCTTGTAATTGAAGTTATGTTGCTGTTCTTAATTATGCAGTAAGGATTGTGTAGTTGGTGTCCGCTTTCTCAAATCCTTTCAAAAGGACTTTGTTTCTGAGAAACTCCAACTCCTGTTTGCTTCAGGAACAACTGTTGAATGAGCTCTCCGTCATCTTTTGCTGGAGACTTTGCAGTAATTAAACCAGTCACCCAAACTGAAATACTCAATAGAAATGTCAGAAAGACTAGTTATTTGAACTCATCTTCAATTGCATGTGTAGAATCTGAACAGAAACCTTAGTGTTGGCTCCTCATCTCCTTTTATTGGGCTGGCTGGTTTCTGATCTCAGTACAGTTTTAATTTTTACTTTCTACTCACCTTATTTAATTCCTCCAAGTTTGCAAAAAGTCTCCATAAGTCCACGTCCAAGAGAAATTCATTCCTCTGGAGGTATTTTAGAGTCTTCATAAATATCTTTAAAAACAAAACAAATTCATGTTGTTCAGCGATTGTGTTTATTTATATATACAATGCAATTTTCATGAAAAGAATGTGCACCATAATTCTGAAATGATCTCATGATCATGGGCAGAAGATGATGTTATGAGAAAATTTCCTGACCTACCTGACTGCAAAATACAGGGCTTTGTGCAAAGGGCAGGGTACGAATGATGGCTCTGGGCTCTCTCTGCAACTACTGCAGAAGTAGCAATGTTCTTGCTATGTTCTCTGTCTGAATGGGGCCACTGAGCCTACTCGAGATAGGTATGGAAAAAAACCACAGCATCAGAATTGCAGAGTTACAGATCTCTGTGCTTTTTCAGAAGACTTACCCTCCTAACCCATTCTGCATAAGCCAGTACGAAAAAGAGAAAAGTTGTTGGAATAGCTTAAGTAAAACGCTTGTGCAGTTTTGACATCTCTTTAGCTTGTTCTATTGACTTGTATTGAGTGAAAACTGCCTTTGTATTTATTGGCTGTTTAAGATGGTACCTTATCTAAGCTCTTACAGGGATCTTGGACCTGTGCCAAATCTGACCTAGAGCTGAAAAAGGCTTAAGAAATGTAGATTACTAAGTGGAATTTTTAGTGCATTAATGAAAAAAAACCCTTGTCACTCAGGTGCTGAGATTGAATTGCTGGTGAGTGTTTGGGCAGCTTTAGTTGCCAGGAGCAGTAGGCCTGAGAGCTTAAAGGGATTTACCATGATCCTGAAGTTCCCTATGGAGATTCATTAAAATCAGTGAAATAGCTTTTCTATGATTCACCTACTTTATTTATTCATTTTATTTTTAGAAATCTTTTGACCTCTCTAAACAGAGTTGAGAAGAAAAGACACTTCCATCTTGCTGGAACTGTTGATCCCTTTCCTGTCTATTTCTATTGTGTGAAAGAGAAGGAATTCAGCCCATTCTTCTCTTTATTCCCTTTACTTTGCAATTCTTCTTGTGCTGCCTAGAATAGTTATTCAGCAACATGGAAAATGTTTCACTAACCTCATCTGTTTTTCCTTAAACTAATAATAAAATTGAGATAGTCTGTGGAGAATAAGAGAAAAAAGGAAGAGTTATAGGGAAGCATTCATCCTTTAAAATAGTTGTACTAATTTATGATGTGTGATGAACATAAATATTACACACTATTACTATTCTTAGTAATAGCTGATCTTTTCTTGTCCATACTGAAAAGTTTGTAAAATTCACTAAGATGGAGCCAATCTGGGCTTTTGGGGAGGAATGTTGGTGGTTTGCTTGTTTTCTGATAAGATCAGAGCAACAGATCTGCTGTTTTCATGCTCTACTGAGAAAAATCTAATCACAGATATGTATGAAGTTAAACCAAGAGTATTCTATAGATCTGTGATAGAGAAATATCCAATAGTGTCAGTTGGAGGGTAGCTTCAGTTCAGAGTTAGTGAGAGGAGTAGTGAAATATCATCCAAAATTACTGGAAGAATCTGCAATCATAATGTATTTGTGAAACACTTAAAGCGATGTTCAGAGAAAGAGATTCCATCAAGAAGATTAAGAAAAAAGAAACAACCAAAGAGAAACAGAAAAAACAGGGAAGATAAGTGGGGACAAAAACCAAGAGTCCTGGAGACAGCAAATGTGAAGATGACTTCACATCTCTTGTGCTGCCATCAGGGTAAATAATGTTTAATCATTTTTGAGAGTTGAAATCTGAACTTACCATCTTGAGAACCAGCAAATGATCCAGAAAGTAAGTGCATTCACTTGTGAAAAGTTCCCACACTGCTTCTTCCTTTTTTACTTGCAGTCGGCTGTTCATATGTTTCTGCTCAGTTTGTTGAGCCTTTATAAATTCGTGCCAAGATTTACTCTGTTGAACAGTAAGAAAGAATAACCAACTTGCATCAACTGTTTCAGAACAAATGAGAAGAATCCATGATCTATTTGCTCATGTAAAGAATTCTGCTGCCAGTATAAGCGATTCTTATGCTGAAAGCTTAAAGTGTCCTTTAAAAAGATTAAAGAACTCCCTGAAATTCTCCTGCAAAATATTCATAACATAACATTTAAAGGAATTTAAAGGTGGCACAGAAAGATACCTTATCTTTGTAGGATATTGTATTAAAAAAACAGTGGGCAGCCTGCAAATGTTAATGAATTTAATTTGTTATGGTGCTGGAAAGCAGGGATTTATGATGGTCTCTGAATTTTCAGATGATAAAGTCAGTGTACCAGAGGACTTCAAAGGTACTCAGATACCATTTAGCTTGGTCCTGGAGTGGCCACCATCAGCCAACTCACCTGCTCCTAGGTCAGATGCTCACATATAAGTTAGGTGCTGACAGAAGTCCTCAACAAAGAAGTCTGTGGAGACCTGAGTATAATAGTTTGCTTTGAGAAGCAAAAGGGTGAGGTGGTGAGTGGATTGTTGCACTGTGGCTTGTGAACAGGTTGTCTTGCTGCCACTTTCAGAGGAAGGTGCCTTCCCAAATCAGAGCAGCGTGGCAAAATCTGAGTGGTTGTGAAAGTCATTGCCTGCCTTGTCTGACTCTCATTTTGCTCCCCTCCTCTTTTTCAAACTATTCATTGATACTCTATTTATGCTTCAGTTTTGCAGATGGTATTTGTTTCCAGATTAATGTACTGAAAAATGTTGGGGATAAAACTTTTATTTTCAACCTGAAGAGTTTAATAGATAGCTTTCTGAATATTCTGATAGTATACTGAATATTCTGATACCTTGAAACAGCAAAATTCATATGTGCCACAATCTACGGCCTTAATGGTTGAAAGACAATGTTCCAGATGAGATGCTTGCTTCTGCTTGTCTTTGCCCTGTTTAATGACAAAAAACAAAACAAACAAACAAAAAACAACAAAAACACCAAAAACCTAATTCATACGATGTTTAGAGTACTAATAAAAAGCTTACTCAACTCAATAACCTTGCCATGATCTGTAAGGTATGCACCCTTAACCATGTTGTTTTCTTATATCTCTGTGCTCTCCTACATAGAGACAAGATAGAAATGGCAGGTTTATTTGTAGCTATGGGTGGTGTGCATAGGTGCCTTAGAGTGTGTGAGGTTTTGTTTATGCAACAAAATGGTCATTGGTGGGGCAAGGCATTGGTATGGCAACAGACAATGGGCTACCACCACAACGCAGAACAAATAACATTTCATTTCCTTCAGCACAGAAAGGAGTGTGAAACAGCAAAACTCAAATTTGAAATCTTCCTTCTTCTGTCTTAGTTACATAAATATTGGGTGAATTTTATTATTATTATTATTATTTTTAATTTTGTTAATTTTGAACTTTGATTTGAAAAGCTCCTTTGGTCAGCTGCATAGTAACTTCTGTAAAAGGAGTTTTTATAGAGCTTAAGGAGGTAGAGGTTTTGTTTGTTTGTTTGTTTGTGAGGGATAATGAAATAAAAACGATTGCTTTTGGTTTGGGTTTACTTTTCAGGCCAGCAGTGCCATGTAAAAAAGTTTAAACAATATTTATGAACCCAAATTTAGTGGTATGGATTGGCATGTGGAAAAATACATGAAGGTGTGCTTGAAGCTAATCTGTGACTGAATTACCAAGGCTTGCTCTTGCCCTGGAAGCAGCCTCCTAGGGGTGTTGCTTGGGTGGGTGAGATGCAGAGCCATGGCCCCAGCTGGCACAACTTGCATCACAGCCTGACACAGACAGCTTGCGCTCCCTTATCACTGGGAGCTGCCCTGAGTGCCTGCAGATAAAGTCCTCAAACAGCATCTCCTGTAAGAAATGTATCTTTGTTGCCTGCCCTTCTCTGTTCCCCTGGTGCTGTGTAGTGGGGATCTCTCCTCCTGCCACCCTGCTGCGCTGGAAGGTAAGGGTGCTTGCTGGTTTTCTTACCATATGCAGAGTCTGAGCTGTTGGAACCACCCTACCTTCACTGCAGATGAATGACCAAGAGGGTGCTTGGTCCAAGGGGAGCTGTGACTTCCATGTTCAGCTCACCTGCTGGCTGCCTTTCTTCATGGACAGTGATATAAACAAACTCTTTTTCACCCGGGTTAGTTGTGTGAGAAAGCAAAGTCAGTGCAAGGGAAAGAACGTGGTGGAATACTCACAACTCCTCTTTTGGCAAAAGGCCACTTTGGCTTTTTGGATTCTAAAGGGTAAAACAAATGTGTTGTAAGTAAAAAGACAAATAGCTAAAATTAAAACTGTTATCTATCTATTCCCCCCACCGCCCTCTTGCAGTGAATCCCACCATACCACACTCTACTTGACTTAAATGTAATACTTATAGGTAGCCATTTTGTGCACCAGACTTTAAACCCATTACGGCTGTTGTGATGGGATCTTGGATGATGCTGAACACTCCCACTTTCTGCAGGTGATCTGTGTTTGATTGCCAATTCTTAACATGGGAAAATGCATCATATCTCAGGTCAATTTTTAAAGATACCTATTGTTTTGAAGGAAGAATTAGCATATATCCGCTCTTCAGAGACATCTTGGGTTTATGCAGGTACTTATGATACTTTATATGAATCTAATAATATTGCTATAATAGTAAAAATATCATTGTACAGATTAGTCTCTTCAGAAGTAGGAATATCTCTGCGAAAACTCATGCCCATATGCTAACAGCTGAAAAACTTCCTCACTGAGGACCTGGGAAAGCTGGGAATCCAGATGTAAGAATGCACTGGTGGGAGGTTAGAGATGCCTAAGTATATTCAACAAGAAATATGGAAAACTTTTCTGATTCATGATGCCTTCAGGCTTGTGTTTGACTGGGAATTGCAGTTGAAACCATTTCCTATAGATTTTGAAGACCTTGAGCATGGGATGGCTGGCTTATTTGCTTTTGTGAAAGTGCTGCTTGTGACGTTACTTATTACATTTTTTGTGGAAAATTTTGTCTCCAGTCACCAGCATCTTCCAGTTTATGGCAATCGCACTGTACCCTACACTACATAAGTTGCTCTGAAAGTAATGCCCTTTATTTATTTCTATGGAAACTACAACAGAAACAAATAGTACAATAATACTACTTGATAGAGCCAATTCCCAGCTACAAAATACTATTTTTCAACATAATAGACACCATTAGCTGTGCATTTTCACCAGCAACAAACAAGAGCCTGCATGCTGTGCTTGTAGAAATCTGCATCAGTGGAGGTGACCCACTGCTAAAATGTGCCACTCACTGCCTCATTGTGACATCTACTGTCCGATATCCATAAATGTTCAGCAAGTGTCAATGGGTGCCATTATTTTTCCAATTCAATGACACACCTTTGCTTCATATGCCTTTCCATGTCAGATGCCATTTTGTCAGACTGTCCCTTTGCTGCCATCTGTCACATGGCAACAACATGTAATGGAATATTGGTGGGAAGATTCAACCTCTAATGCCAAACAACCATCATCTGCCTCTGATGCTATGGGCCAGCATAATAAAATAGAAGGCATTATTTTCAGAGCAGCCCTCACTTATTACACAACCGGTATTTAAGGAAATTGCTTGCAGGTCTACATTTCAGTGTTGCATGAATAACCTGTGGCCATGAATTGGGTCTGCTATCTTTGTAATTAGAGCACTGATAGAAAGGGTAGCATAAGTAACTCTTCTTCCTCTGCCTGAAGCTGCCCAGGTAGGCAGCTGTAACTCAACTGATTACAGATGGAAATCCTGGCCTAGGCCCTGGTTGCTGCTGGAGTGTGTGGAGGCAACTGCCTAGCCTGCCTCAATTACTTCTTTCATTTTGCATTCAACCATAAAATGAAGGAGAAACCCTAAATTGAGGGGAATTTTATAATGAGCACTGCAGTGTTTATTGCACTGATCTTTCCTCTATCCCTCTTTCCCACCCCATGCACGCACACGCTTGTCATAAATATAATGGGGTGTGGATGAGCTAAGCCCACCCTATGTCTGACCTGCATTTAGCAGCAGGGCTGTGTGGGGCAGGTAGTCCAAGGCACTGTCTGACACCAGCAGGTCTCCAGGGAACACCTTGAGTCCTGGCAAGCTCACCACCACGGAGCTACGCCTGCGCTCAGCTGATCTGTGAGACCCAACAACAACGCACGTCATGTCTCCTCATGTGGCTGTGGAAGGAATTCCTGAAGTGCTCCTTGCTGATATCAGAGGAAGCGAGCTAAAAACTGAATCACAGTGGCTATGGCATAAGGTATTAAAGGAGAAATGAGAAAAAACTTCCAAAGCAGCAAATATCCTGTTGTCTTTTCAACTGCTCAGTGTTGCTAAGAATGAGGTTTTTACAGCCGTGGGTTGCCTGAGAAGAGAGGTACCTGGGAATTTAAATACTGGAAATTTCTGGGTTCTTCTAAGATTAAGCAAAAAACAGGGCAAGATTTCAGAACAATTTTGGCACTGGAGTCCACAGAAACATCGTAGCCCTAGATGACGTGTGTGTTGACTTTTGGACTTCATGTAACTCAGGTAATATCAAGAAAAGACAGAATAGCAATGAAAGAGTTTATCTTTTGTAATATATTTAACCATTTTTCTAGTCTGTGTCATAGTCTTTCTAAATTTTTAAGAAGTTTTTTTTCCTGCTAATTCAAATACTTTGTATTTTGAATATAATGTGTCTTAGTCAGCCCGCTGATCTGAAACCAATGCCTCTTTCCAACTATTGTTGTTACCAACAGAGTTCATTGTCCAGGATGTAGATCCATCAAGAAGAAAGACAGAGGCATTCTGAATCCAGCAGTGTGTTTGTGCCAGAGGCTGCTCACATTCAAACACAGAAATTATTGGTGCGTATCTAAAACGTTCTTGGATTCTGTTATTAACTCATGCCAAAACCGAATTAATGGTATTGTCATACAGTTGCAAAGCGGCTGAT